GCCGCAGCGATGATACCAACGGTGAAGACAGTTTGAGCGATCATTGTGAAGAGTGTGTAGGTTGTGTTGTAGAGATAAACCAAGTGCACCTCAGCCCTTTATAATAATTACATACCTATGCTAAAGACAACGGGCAGGACTAAGGGTGACTATATCATGAAGGTACGGGCTAATTCTTGATTCATCATTCGGAACGAAGATGTGATCTTGTGATGAATATCAAACACGGAAGTTATTACCGGTAGTTGCAGATAAATTAAAGTAGAGCGCTATAACATCATCAGAAGGCAAAAGATTTGCATTTTTTTTAAATTATTTCATTTCTACACATCTCATCACCTCCTTCATTCGGAATGTGACTTGCCTTTTTGGAAATTTTAGCGCGAAGGAGCTTTGCCTAGACTGGGTATGAAGACAAAAAATAATTTTTCTCTACTATAAAGGAAAGGCGAGCACCGGCTACCTTGTTTCCTTACGACTTCTTAGCTCTTATATCTCTATTACAATGATCGCTCAAACTGTCTTCACCGTTGGTATTATCGCTGCTGCCTCTGCTGGCTGGGAGCCAAAGACTGGCTCTTGCAACACTGGCTCTATTCAATGCTGTAAGTATAAGTTGTTTAGCTTCGCACCATCTTACATCGACAAGGCAACCTTGATGAAAAGAAGCAAGTCAGCACCGGCAAGAACGATGCTCTCATCTCCACCGGCGACATTGCATCCCAAATCGGTGTACAATGTGACCAAGTCCCACTCTTGATCGGAGTTGCTATCGAGGGTTCGTAAAAGTTTTATGTCCTTCTTAAAGCTGACACTCTACAGACGAGTGCAAGAACACCCCAGTCTGTTGCGAGGACTACGACGGCGAGTCTGCAATCGGTCTTGGTAAGTTGGGTTTTGATATCCATCTACGTGTCTCACCTTTTGCACAGGCTGTGACGCTCTCCCAATCATCTAAGCAAGAGTCGCGTTTGCGAAGACGTTTACCATTATTAAGTGGGCATTGTAATTATTTATTAACAAATATTGTTACCCTGAAAAGAGTTGTGGGAGTGATTATAGGAGATGTGGCTTTGAGGGCTAAGTATTTGGTGAGCTATAATAAATCAGGAAATGTAAACAAATACTGTCGTCACTGTACTCCAGTTTGTCTTTCATTTAAAGATTAGATTACATTATAGGTGAGATAAAGTGTACAAATATGACGTTGACGCTAATCGAAAGAAAACCTTGATGAGGTCATCGGAAAGTGCTAACGCAGCATTTTCAACTCCGCGGAAGAACTCTAAGTGCTTTATCTAAGATGTGTCAATAAGACACAGTCACGCTCAAACCAACCCACCTTTCGATCTCAATGCGTGCACGAAGTTGACGACGCTATCAACCTCTCTAACATTTTGATGGCGGTAATGAGTGCTGACAACGTCGTTAAATAGTTCATGTGCCTCGTCAATGTCAGGTAGGATAGCCTCTTCTTCCATATCTTCTGGATCAAGCATATCGTCGTCGTCTTGTTGAGCGGATACGCCTATAGAGGCAGAGCGGGAAGATTTCCTTGAAGGGCGTCTTTTCAAGGGATTGGAAGGGTCATTGAAGGCGTCGTCTTGATCGATTGGGTCGTGCAGTTGCTCGGTGGAATCTGAAGGGTGGTGATGGATAGTTGGGCGTAGAGCAAAAGGCAGGACAACAGCGCCTGTAGAGTCTTTAGGCTTTGGTGGTAGATGCTCTGCTAAACGATAGTTGGTCATGTATCGATGAAGTGCAGGAGTGGGGAGAGTAGACAGGTCCAAGTGCTTTAAACTGAGTGAGCTACTTCAATAGGCTAAAATTCATCATTTAAACTCACAAGGCTCTCACTCCCCTCGATTCTCAACTCACCAAATCGATTGTCCTCGCTCTTGGTTGTAATATGCCGTGAATATCCATTCGGTGATGTATAAACACTCGAATCATCATGCCTACGCCTTTTATTTGGCTGCGTTTGCTGAATTTGTCTGATGTAGCTCATTACGGTTCAACGAGGAATATACCTTCAACTCAGACGATCATCATGCCAGAAAATTTATTTAAAAACGTTGGAGATCTCGTCGGCGACTTCGAGGAGAGCCCCGTACAAGAAATAGAATCGCTCTGTATGGACTGTGAGAAGATGGGCGTCACTAGAATGCTGCTCACTATGATCCCTTACTTCAAAGAAGTCGTTGTTATGTCCTTCAAATGCGATCACTGCGGTAATATTAACTCAGAAATTCAATCTGCAGGTGAAATTCAGCAGCGTGGCAGTCTCCACACTGTACATGTCACTTCCCCGGAAGACTTGGATAGACAAATCGTTAAATCTGAGCACGCTACCGTCTCTTTCTTAGAGTATGAGCTCACCGTTCCAGAAGGTAGAGGTCAGTTGACCAACATCGAGGGCGTTATCAGGGACACCATCCGAGACCTCTCGATGAATCAGCCACTGAGAAAAGTTTTAGATGTGGAGGTTTACAACAAAATTAACCATTTACTCTCCAGATTGAGAGGTGCTGTTGGTGCATCTGATGATGAGTACAACCCTGAAATCGTCGATGGTCCAACTTCTTCAATCGAAGACAAGAACAGAGCTGATGAAAGCCATGATGCTCTTCCATTCACAGCTTTCACCGTACAAGTTAGAGATCCATCAGGTAACTCCTTTGTCTCCTTTAAGGAATCTCCAAACGATCCAAAGTGGTCTATTCGTGCCTTTAAGCGTACACACGAAGAGAATGTCGCTCTTAGACTCGCAAATGAAGAAGATAAACCACAAGAGAATGTCAAGCAGGTCGCAGGTCTCAGCGATTCAGATGAGATCACTGCAGACGAAGTCCTCCAATTCCCTGGCATATGTTCAAGTTGCGCAAAGGACAGTCCAACCAACATGAAAAAGGTTAACATCCCTTACTTCCAAGATATTTTGATCATGTCAACCAACTGCGAGCACTGTGGATTCAAGGACAACGAAGTCAAATCAGGTGGTGCAATTCCAGAGAAAGGCAAGCGTATCACTTTAAAGGTTGAAGATGAGGAGGATTTATCTAGAGACATTCTCAAGTCAGAGCACGCTGGTTTGTCTATTCCAGACATCAACCTCGTCCTTGAACCTGGAACTCTTGGTGGTAGATTCACAACCCTTGAAGGTCTTCTCGCTCAAGTTTACGAAGATCTCTCGACAAAGGCTTTCATTGGCGATAGTGCTATCGATACTCAGGCTGGTGATTCAGGATTAATTGGTAGTACTCAAATGCAGGAGTTTGATAAGTTTTTGACCCAACTCAAGACTGTCATGACAGCAGCAAAACCATTTACCGTTATAATCGACGATCCTCTCTCCAGCTCTTACATCCAAAACTTCAACGCACCAGAACCCGATGAACAAATCCTTATTGAGGAGTATGAGCGTACTCACCAGCAGAATGATGATCTAGGATTAACACAGTGGGTTTATACGTTTAAAGAGGGACGAACTGACAAAATTTTCTGCAGAATGAAGACTGAAAATTACTAACCTTAAGCATTCCTTTGAGCACTCATAAAGGACTAAGTTATTTCTCTCTATAGACATGTGTACATTTTTATCGATCTTTCCTTTGCAAGCCAGTGCAATTTCCATTCTTAAAACACGCACGTGGGTGATTGTTTGCTTCCCACGTTCAGTATGATTGTGCCAACAGTAGCTAGTATCTTGCTGTATATATCTCAATTATTCGTTGGGAGTATTGTCAGGGAGTCAAATGATTTCACTTTGCCTTCTCTGGGCGAGAGCAACACCAGCTTTGTCAACTCGCTCAAATTGAATAATGTAACGGATATGAAGAGGCACGGTAGACTAAGCAAGTGGTCTGCTACCAATAAGGCAAGATTTCTTAAGGATCTGGACGCCGGTAAGGCTGGTGATTGGATCGTCGGTGAGATTCTCAAACACTGGTAATTCAACTCCCCCTCACCCCGTTTACAGCTCTAGGCAACCAGGCTGCAGACACAGACAGTCTCGCTAGCTCTATCGCTATGGCTTACCACCTCGAACATACACAAGAAGGTACAAATGCAATCGCTTTATTACAAACACCGCGTGACTCGTTAGACTTACGTCCAGAAAACAAACTGGCGTTGAGGGATGCAGCTATGTCCCATGGAGACCATCAGGATCTGCTCACAATCGATGAGTTACCGATGAAAGTTAAGAGACTTGCACCTCTGCTTAAAGGTATAGCGTTAGTGGATCACCCAGAGCCAGTTGGTGATTGGAAGCTAGCCAACATTTCTGCAATCATTGATCATCACAAGGATAGGCATTGGGGTGAAGATGCTGATCCGCGTATCATTGAAATGTCCAAGAGCTGTTCATCTCTAGTTGCTAGAGATCTGATGAATGATCACAGGAATCTACAAATGGAGGGTGAAAAAATGCCTCGTGAGTTAGCAGATATACTCCTCGCAGCGATTGCATTAGATAGTGATGGATTGGAGAACGCGACTGATGTAGATCTTAGCTCTGCTGTAGAGCTGTACAAATACGCAAACGGACAGCACAAGAAATTCAAAAGCAAGAAATTTTTCAAGTACATGACCAAGCTTAATAGAGCATATAGAAATGCTCGCAAGGATCTTGAACAGCTCAATTTCCTCGATCTGCTCAAAAGAGACTATAAAGGTGACCTCTTCCAGCCCTCAAACCACAAGCAGCACAGATTGCACCTCGGGTTCGCCAGCATACCATTCTCAATTGAAGATCAGATTAAAAGATCGCTTCCTAGCAAAACACTTCGCGAGTACAGAGCCATCGAGCGGCAGTTCATGATTGATAGAAGCAGCGATATAAACGTCATTATGTCGAAACACAAGGAGAAAGATGTGAACGGGGAGAAAGTTAAAGTGAGAGATATAGGCGTGCTCGTCAGACACGATGGCAGGCTGAATGGCACTTCACTCGCGCAAGTTTCGTTCGACAATATTGTTAAAGCGATTGAAGGCAATTTGCAAGTAAAGAGGTGGAATGGATCTGATGGCGGAGACGATGGTGGAGAGTTAGGCGGACGCAGACGAATCTGGACACAAATCGGAGGCAATGGTGCGGACAGTGGTGGCGTCGGAAGGAAGGTAATAAGGCCGCTAATAGAGGAATCATTGAGGTATATTTGAAGGCTATGAAACGTTCCAATGCCATAATACATTCGCACAATTTTAATATTTTTGTACTCGTGCGCCGATTTGACTGGCCGACATGCGCCCCCTTAAATTACGACACTTGAGATCTAGACGATAAATTTATGGCAAGCACGAGCAGCGCAATCCAGCAAATAATATTTCGTAAGCCTTCGCGGAAATATTCAACGTCTGGTTTTGAGCGCAGATCGATTTGGGGAAAGACTGGGATAGATTTGAACGGGAGCGAGAGCGGTAGCGCAGGCGACACAACCAGTGAGCGTGGCAGCAGCTCACCTGGTATGAGATCAAGATCAATTTCGATATCTCGTCCGCCATCTGCTTATTCTGCTTATTCTGCACGGACTGCTCGGTCAGCAGCCTCAGCACCCTTAGCAACCGCGCAGAATACAGAAAAAGAGCTGCCGAAGCCATACGAGGCCAATGAGGGCTCTGAGATTAGCACTATTATTGAAGATAATGAGGACACGGAAACTATCAACGGCGAACGTGCAAATGGGTCTGAAAGCGTGAGCAGAAATTGCTATACTCATACGCCTACTGAAACTTAGCAGACATTTAGAGCTGAAGATGCGAGAGCCAATGAAGCTCAGGACCAAGATTCACATTCAGATTCCTCGTCTTCCTCAAATTCACTCAGACGCAGTGCATCCTTCAAATCGCTAGCTCAATCAGTTGCGTCCACAACTGACCAGTCTTTTGTCTCTGCACAGGAAAGTATAGAATCCATGTCGAGTGCAGCGTCATTCCACTCAACACCGTCGACATTAAACATTCAAGGGGATGATGAGAACGATGCTAGCTCTGTGAGCTTGGCCTCGCAGTATTCTCAGAGCAGCGCGAATAACGACGAAAGAGAGGCCCTGGACGCTGCCACTGCTTTGCCTGACGTACAGGTGGACAACAGACGACAGAGTGCCGACAGCGCCAATAATGTTGATGCAAACAAAGAATCCAAGCCCAACAACAGCACTGATACTAGCCCCGCCAATACTGTAGTCGATAGTATTTTCGATAGCACACAAAGAAGCCATGGAAGCCCTACCTCTGAGCTGGAATCTAACATCAGCACAACAACAGCAGCAACTGTGACACCGAAGCAGTCGCCAACGCTGCCCCTTTCGCCAAAAAAGAGAAATTTTTCAACTACCAGTAACGCATCAACAGTCAGAGCATCAATGACCAGGAATCTGCCAGATGCACCAGCTGTACCAGTTACGACCGCTTTATCAGTTGCACCAACTGCACCAACTGCACCAACTGCACCAACTGCACCCGCTACATCTGCTACACCACCAAAAGGAAATAGACGAAGAGTAGCATCAACTCCGTCTAACAACAACCAAGTGAACTTTAGACGGCTCTCCACCGATACAAGCTCAACAAAACCACCTTTACCTGAAAGACCGCAGAGTCAACTGCTGCTACCAAGCGATTTCGTAAAAATGCGCAAAAGTGGTGGTTCACCGAGCACTGTCGGTGATAGTGTTGTTAGTGAGAGTACAAAGTATCCTGCTTCGAATGCTACATCAACTACAAACAAGATTCCACGCTCGGAAGCGACGAGCGCGACAACACGCAGTCGGACATGGTCAGTTAGTGGAACTGCACTGTCTAGCAAACCTAGCGTGAAGAGACCTACGACCAGCATAGACCAGATGCTACCTGATGATGCTTTAGGTATAGATCGCTCAATGCTTAGTATCAGTGTTACAAGTGGAGCAGCTGAGAAGCTGACCAAACCAAGTAAATCCTTCATGGGTAAAAAGAGAAGCGCGAACTGGAGCGGAGCGCGTGGTAGAAAGCACACACAACTATACAAACCTACGATAACACTCGGATTGAACAGCCACTTCAAACCACCTCAGAAATTAGATCCTCATTCTGTTCTCATCAAAGGTGCGTGTTTTTGGCTTTGTGGTTCTGGCTAACGCTATCAACAGTTCATAGCACCGCTTTGGATAACTTTGACGCGATGACTCTCATGCGTGGCTCTAACGCCCAATACAACAACAAGAACAAAAGTGGCATGGAGGCCCCACCTGGTCCTGAGTACGGCTTCATCCCTGGTAGAATGGCTCTCGGACAGGTCGTAGAGGTTGGTTGGAAAGTGAAAAACATCAATCGCCAGTGGGTATGGGCTTTGCTCTCTACAGAGAAGGTGAGAAGAGGTGTTTGTGAAAAGGCCAACTGCTAACCTATCACTTTAAAGTCGGGATGTCTTAGCGAATACATTGTCGTCAACCGGACTAGAGTTTCGCCGGCACCTATCGAAAAAGCCGGTCAGGACATTAGCAAATTGTCTACTGTCCCTCTTAAAGCATTTGCGGCACAAAAGCTCTCCACATCACACATGGCACAACTAAAACAAGGATCACGCATTCTTGTACTCGCCGCTAGTTCCAACCCGTACAACTCCGTATCGACTTATATCATAGAAGAGCTGAAAGAGCGTAATTGTCAGGTATTTGTGCAGACAACGACGCACTCCGATTTTAACTATGGCGTTGGAGTGTACGAGTTAGCAGGTGCATTGAAAGATATCACTTCTGACCAGCTCGAGGGTAGTTTCGAGATGGTGATCGATGCGCGACTTTGTTTTGACGAAAAGGAAAACATCCAGGCTCTTGAGTGGTGCAGGAGGATTCTATGCAGAAATGGCGCATTTATCACACTCGTTCCTGACATGATGGACGTCGATCAATCAAAACCAGTCAAGACGCGGAGTCTTTGGAGTCAAATAGTCGGCATGCTTTTTGGTAGTCAGTCCAGAAAGAGTTTACAGAAGGTCGTTCTCGGCGTACCTGGCGAAGACGACGTCGACCCGGCGTCAGGTATGGATGTGAGAGATATTTTGGATGAGATTGCTCGCAAGATTAACAGTGGTGTTTACTCCACATTCCTCAACGACAAGTCGCACATTAATGCATATCAGCTGGAGAATGCCACGTCGGCATTCCATACTATTGGGTTTAATGAGAGGGGGAACCATATCAACAATCAACCTTTATCAGATTATGCAGTTGTTAGGATGCGTTCTTAGTTTTTTTTTTTGTTTTACAGTCTACTTTTAATTATATTACAATGCACTTGCAATTACTTTTAATTTTCGTCTATACGTTTGATTCTCACTTCTTCTTGCGCGATATGTCTTTGGCTTTTTTGCCTCCGACACTCATTTCTTCATCGTCGTTCAGCACACCGGCCAAGTCCATAGCTTCGCGCGCAACCTGATTGATGTACTTGAAGCGATCAGCGCCAAGATGAACACCACCATACCATCTCGTTACAACAACTAGAACGTCTGAGTTGGGTGTCAAAGCGAGCGATCAATGGAATGTCTTTGTGTGTACTCACTGTTTACATCCTGGAGATATGTTTGATGAGATCATGTGCAAAAATCGGAAATCATACGCGAAAACAAAAAGAAGAAACCTACCAAAATAGACAAAAGGTGCGCAATACGATTGCCTGCAGCAGATTCGCCGTCGTCATCATTATCTGAGATTGAGATGTCAGGTTAGCATTGCAGGGAGAGTTGAAAAAGACCAACCTTGATGCTGGACACCATCAGGGGATCTGAATCTCCAAGCATCTAGAGAGGTGTGAGGATTGCGGAGAGTGGTAGTGATAAGAGAGCACCCACTGATAACGGGATGAGTAGCACGAGCAATTTTCTACCACAGAAATCAGCACGAATCGCCAAAGCAACACGTACCCACTCTATCGTTCTGCAAATGGCCCAGAATGAGTGGTACCTGTGTATGTGAAGAGATGCGAACGCAATGGCCAGCTTATGTGGTGGTGTGAGAGGGGGTAAATGTTAAACATACGCATCGACGACTGACCGAAAGTAGATTTGGAGTAAGTAACAGAAGGTGTAGTAACGATTTCGAGTCCATCAGGCAGACCATCGAGTTGATGTTCTAGAGAAGCAGCAAACGCCGCATCTTCCTCCAATTGTCTCTCCTGAGCAATAAGTTGAGGATTAGTGGCTAATCTGACCTCGCGCTCCTCCTCTCTTTGCAACTCGCCAACAACGACTCTATTAGTGAGATCCTCGTACCATTTCGTGCATTTCTCGCGCGCGTCTTCTACACCGTTATAGATGGCAGCCTCGCCTTGTACCCACTCAGCCCCGCCCGTCTGGGATATGAATGAACGGAGGATCTGACCGAAGAGGGAGGAGTCCACGCCGTGGGAGCCTATGTATTTCGACAGGAGTTGCATCTGCGGCGCGGCTGTGTGTGGGTATGCTTGAGGGAGTGATATAAGAATATCGATGCCGATTTCGTCGTGTGGTTCGAGAAGGTTTGCTCCCACTACTATCCGGATCGTCCCCGGCTCGTCATCCGCTTGATTCTCCCGCCCCTCTTCGCCGAATTGACACAGGGCTTCGGGACCGTAGATGGCCTGCAGTGCTTCTAGCTCGGTGGCGAGCGTGTCCCTGCCGCTTTCGTACAGTTTGGTGATGAGATCCTGCATCGCACGCGTGCTGTGTCCTGTGTGCTGCTTAGTGCTCTCGTGGTGGCACACAAACAAAGACAAAAGATAGAAATATCGCTCAATCGATTCATGCTCAGTTCAGTTCTACATGTGTTCCGGTAGATGGATCAGCCCAGCGACTTGTTCAGATAGTCTTCCGTTAGCGCCTCAGCGCCGTCTCTGACTTCTACAATCTAAGCGGCGTCAGCGAGGCGCTGTTGCATTCGCAGTACTCAATACTCACCCTACTGACTTGAGCCACCTGCTGGAACATTGATAAGCCACTGTAAGCGGGGTAAGCAAAAGCAGCGGTACTGTCTCGCTCCAACTCACGACGCGTGCAAAGTATTCATTTCCGGTGAGGACGTAGTCGGTTTCCAGTTGATCATCGCTAGAGGCACGGCTAATCTGCCGTCAGCGTGTTTGAGGGGGTATGATATAACGACGTATCGCGGCGCGTTTTCTGGAAGTTCTGGTGTTCGGTGTGAGCTGGAGGTGTGCGCCGGTCGCGGAGGACACTCCCACCATCTGCCAGCTCCTCCACGGAAATGTTCTCGAGGCGCTCGTCGACTTCCAGGCAGAGCTGATGATGTTGTTAGAAGTGTGCGCAGACGCGTCTGAGAGTGTGGGCCACCTTCTGCTTGTTGATCTGCGTGGCTGGCGTTAGTACCCTTTCAATCCTCATACGCACAACCCCACGCACTTTGACAATCAACACGGAAATACCTTCAAGTCTGCTGAATCTGAATTTACGCAGCTCCTCTCGGACTTGGACGGGTATGTCGATCTGGCGCTATCAGATAGGCAATTCAAACGCCTCTTTTGCCCGCTCACAGTTTTCGATTGTGACATGGTGGTTGAGCTGAATGCTGTTATCTATCTCCCCAACGCCCATGACATTCCCTCTGGTGCACAGTCTGTGGATATTGAATAAAGCAGGCGGATTGGTGTACTCGCGGTCTTTTTCTGGTGCGTTTTGCTCCACTTGCGCTTTCACATACGTTGTCTCAATCGCAGTTGGACAGATCAATTGCCGGGGCTCAACTCTAATGAGCAGCTCGTGTTGGCTGGCACATTGCACGGTGTGCATGCCATCTGCTCGCGCATTTCCCCAATCACGACCTCTAAATGCAGCGGTGTACAAGTACTCGAATCCGATTCGTTCGATCTAACTATCTTCTTGACAAGGACTGGTGGGTTGTATGCGCTTTGATTAGACACGCTATTAACCCACACAGGCACAAAATTCGTCCTGATTACCACACCAGGTCATCCAGCTACCCAGGCACTCCTCAGTAGGGTTTACGAGGTTTACGCAGACACAGTAATGAAAAATCCTTTCCATATACCTGAAATGCCAATACGGAATGAAATTCTCGACAGGACGCTCGATGGATTCCTGCGAACACCCGATTTTATGACTCATTAGAGAAGAAAAAGCGTTATTCATTATTAATACAGTTGTTGTAGTCTATGCGCGGTGTTTTTTACGTGTTGTGAAATTCTATGCAAGTTGAGACAAAGTTGGAAGGTATCATTCGGCATCAGAATTTACCTCTTTAAGCTTGCACTTTCACGCCAACTTGCGCATCCTTCTTGGCGAGATCCATTTCACGCTTACGCTTTTCAAATGCGCGCTTCATCACGAAGAAGTCCTTGTGGAGACCACATTCAGTCTTCTGGCCACCTTTGTCAGACCATCTGCCGGAGCGTTCATCGGCATCTGAGGTAGCCACGCCAGATGGAGCCTTGGTAGAGTGCCAGTCACCGACGCTCTTGTAACCCTTGTCGAGGAGAGCGTTGTAGGGGACTTTGTTATTGTCCGCGTACGCCTTGACTTGCTCGAAGGTCCATGATGCTAATGGGTTAACTTTGATAAGGCCAGTTTCATCAATTTCGATAGCAGGAATTGCAGCCCTCTCTCCACCTTGACTGCGTCTTCTACCGGTCAAAACGGCTTTAACGCCGAGTTCTTCGTATGCTCTACGAGCTGGTTCTACCTGAAGTGATTTTAGTGGAAATATGTGGAACACAAAGTAAACCCACCTTTACAGCGAAATCGTACATATCTTCATCCGAGATCCACAACTCTTTTCCGTAAAGAACCTCAAATTGTTTGACGTTGTTGACGCCGTTTGGAATGTAGTTGTGTAGCTTAGCAGAGTATTTCTCGCTAACAGTTCTCGCCAAATCGATTGTCTCATCGAAGTGGTACAAAGTATCAAGGAAGATGAGATCGACGGCGTGTGCAGCTCCTCTAGCCTTGCTGATTTTGCTGATCATGTCAACTGCAATCGTACCTGTTAATCCGAAGGCTGTCGTTTGGTAGAGTCCATCAAGGTTATCCATTGCCCATTCTAATATTTCTTGAGGGGAGGCGTTGGAGAGCTGCTGATTGGCTGCTTCAAGTTGAGATTGTGAGATCATATCCTATTTTCACTTGATCGTAATGGTTTAAGTCATTTCAATTCTCTTTTCTCAAATTCTTTATAATCACGCCTTTTTTATGACAAATCCGTGATAATTTTCTTTTTGTAGTGTTTCATACTATTCTAATATCCTTTATAACACCTACTAAAATATTTTTTCATTTCTATTATTCCGCCGCATTTCGGTGCTAAATTCCAAAAATTTTCATTATTAAGCCGATTGGCAAGGTATTTACTAGAGTGATATTTGTAATACAAATGATTATTAATATGACTAGCTTATCTATAATTGCTCGGGATCAATAATAAAATTCCATTCTCAGCAAGGTATGGGAGGCCAACGAGCAGGGACGAGAGAGAGATGGATTAGACGATTACAATTTGCGGTTGCTTGTAGACTACTTGACAAAGTTACAAAGTCGCCACAGCAAAACTCGGCAGCAAGTATAACGCTCAATGAATTTACATTGAGCAGTAAATAAATATATCAAAATACACTCCAAGATTCCACTAATATTATTTTATATTTTAAAATTCTTGTTTCTTATTTTTGACTTGTGTCATTGCCCGCCAATCATAATCTTCGCATTTTGCAGATTCCTTCATAATCACCTCCACCAGCAAACCCCAATGAACTTGCGCAATCTCACCAAGTACAGGCAAGCGTGTCCCTTCCTCGGCAGCAACACCACCAAGCAGCTCTCCACCCTTAGCCACACCACTTCCAATGGATTCACCAGCAATCTCACCAGCAAAGCTCAGAGCTGTCCAATCATGGGTCCTGCCATCCAACAACAGAAGAAGCATTACGCCTCTGTTGCGTCCAAGAAGGATGTCGACGCTATCCACAAAAACCAAGGCGTTAAGAAGAGTTCCGGTGGCGTTTGTCCTCACGCAGCAGCTGGAATAGCAGCAGCAAAGGCAGCTGCAGCTGCAGCTAATGCTCCAATCCCTCAATCCCCTCCATCACCGTCCACCTCCTCAGCCTTATTCAACTACGACGACTTCTACGCCCAGCAACTCCAAACAAAGCACGATGACGCCAGCTACCGTTACTTCAACAACATCAACAGACTCGCCCACAAGTTCCCAGTCGCCCATACTTCACGCCCTGATGAAGAAGTCACTGTGTGGTGTTCGAATGACTACCTCGGTATGGGCAAGAATCAGATTATCATCGATACTATGAAGAAGACGCTTGATAAGTACGGTGCAGGCGCTGGTGGTACGCGTAACATTGCAGGCAATGGTCAGCTTCATCTCAGCCTTGAAGCTGAACTCGCATCACTTCATCGTAAAGAAGCTGCACTCGTCTTCTCTTCGTGCTACGTAGCCAATGATGCCACTCTCTCCACTCTCGGCTCTAAGCTACCGGGTTGTGTCATATTCTCCGATTCGCAGAACCACGCTTCGATGATCCAAGGCATCAGACACTCTGGCGCTAAAAAGGAAATATGGAAGCACAACGACCTCAACGACCTCGAAGCTCGTCTGAGTAGATACCCTAAGGAAACTCCAAAGGTATGTAATAGCACTGAGCTTATTAATCACCCACACTAACCTCTGCATTTCCACCCAGATCATTGCATTTGAGTCTGTTTATTCCATGTGCGGTTCTATAGGACCAATCCGTGAAATCTGTCAATTGGCTAAGAAATACGGCGCAATCACCTTTAACGATGAAGTCCACGCTGTTGGAATGTATGGTCCAACTGGCGCCGGAGTAGCTGAACATCTCGATTTTCAACAACACACCAAGACATCCGACGCCGTCAATGGCTCTGTAATGGACCAAGTTGACATTATCACAGGCACACTAGGCAAAGCGTATGGAGTAGTCGGTGGTTACATAGCCGGTTCCGCAGATTTCATCGACATGATACGCTCATATGCACCGGGATTCATCTTCACCACGTCAATTCCACCAGCAATAGCTGCCGGTGCGCAGGCGTCGATTGCCTACCAGAAAGCGTACAGGGGCGATAGAATCAAGCAGCAGATCAACTCGCGTGACTTAAAGAATAAACTTCGCCAAGTTGATATACCAGTTGTGCCAGGACCCTCTCATATCGTTCCAGTCCTTGTAGGTGATGCTGCACTAGCCAAGCAAGCCTCAGATTCTCTCCTCGTCGATCATGGCGTTTATATGCAGGCACTCAACTTTCCAACTGTGGCTGTAGGTGAGGAGAGACTGAGAATTACGCCTACTCCCGGTCATAGTATCGACGCTATGCAACACCTCGTTAGAAGTCTCGATGAGGTTTGGAATAAATTACAGATCCCTCGCGAATCAGACTGGATTAAACGTGGTGGTAGAGCTGGTGTAGGTCAGCCAGAACTCGTCGACGCTGACCCTCTCTGGACCGATAGCCAACTAGGCTTGCTTGGTGAAAACCATCACTTGCCTGATATCTTCAATCACAATATTGAAGAAGCTAAGCAGATTGCTACTGAAAGATTGCAAGACCTCTTGGAATCCCACGCTGATGAGGACATTGTGCGTATCGTAAATGGTAGCGAGTAGGGTTCAGCAGGCTGTATATTGTATCGAGTCAAAAATTATACATCGATTAACTTTTTGACAAAAGCTTTCATGTGATGATGCATGCTTAAGATATCAAATAAATTAACAAAGGATAGTGAAATGAAACAAGAAAAGAAAAAAGCTAATCACTCACGTCAATGCCTCGATTTACCAGTCATCCTCAAGTAATCCTTAAAGGCATACTCAATAGATCTATTGATGAGATTTTGAGGCAATTTCCTAACCTGATCGAGAATATCGCCTCTGCTCGCACTCCCAAGGATCACCTTCATCGATTGACTAACAACTGGGAGGGGTATGAATCGAGTCAATATTTCAATAGCTGCATCTTTGCCTGCTTCCGATATCTCATATTCTTCAGCGGTGGGGAATATTGCGTTAGATTGAGATTCCTGATCCGACTCTGGCTGTAACTTTGACTTTGACTGATCTGACTTTGACTGCGACTCATCCAACTTTTCCTTTACAGTGAAATCTTCGTCTTGTTCTCGAGCGAGGACCTCTAACTCTTTTGTTATGTCATTGATTTTACCATTCACATTGTAGTTGTCGTTGTCTGTGCCATTATCTGTGCCATTATCTGCCACTTGGCTCACTTCTTGGTGTCCCACTTCCGACTCCTCCTTCTCCCTTCCTTGCTTTTCTGCTTTTCCTCTCTTGCCCTCCCTCACGTCTTTCTCGAGAAGATTCTCACCCAACCCAAACCAAGTCGCGAGGAATTTATTGCGTTCTTTAAATGAGTACAGAGTGCATGACTTGGCCCAGCTACTCATCCTTGACACTAATGTAGGTGGCTTTTAAAGTTAGTAAGCAGGAAATGAAAAAAAGAGACTCACTGTATCAGGATCAACGACTTGAATTTTACCATGCCAACCCACTCTAGCTGAAAGATGGTGCTGTTTAGCGATAAAGTTTTTGTACGGATTGAAAGCAGCGCCCGAGACTGTCTGTTCAATCCACTCCTCCACATTTCCATTACGTACCCATCTCGCCTCTGTTAGTGGCTGTTTCGTCTCGAGTGCGCACTCGATGGTAATGGATTGTTCGTTAAGCTGGGGTAGTCCATCACTTTCTCCCTGTTCTGTCGCCATTAATCTCTGTAGCGGTGGTACCGTCTCATCTTGAACATCAAGCATATGCTTCTGTTTAGAAAGCGGTATGTAAGATTCCTTCTCGCTATCCAACATTTCAACAATTATACCAGGACATATTCGCATCGTGTCAGCCTGGTCAGCGTCCAATTGAGCTTTGTGTGTGCTGAGTATGATTTGCTTTTCGCTTTCTGGGAGATAGCTTGTACTTTCTACCATGTTGGATAAAGGATCATCCACCCGCTGTAGACGCATCCTCATCGATACGACACCCTCTTTGCGCTTGATGATTATGTGTTCAATCAGCTCGGCGTCTAGAACTATCCGACGTGTGTTAAGTGCGTATGATATTGATACTCTGTTCGAGGATGGCTCGAGGATGCCGGTCTTGTCCATTTTTTCTTCGATTTCGCGGATTTTACTGTCGATGGGGTCGTGTGTGGATGTGTCTGTTGATCTGTCTGCTGACTCCTCGTCATGAGAGGGTGGAAGTGGGATAGTACCACGCTTACTCTCCACAGTAGCTGGAGAAGCAAAGTACAATCTCAACCTGGCGTTTTCCTTGGCTGCGTCAGTCTCCTTACATTCTTCCTCATCTGGCTGCTTCCATTGCCAGTTTATAGAAGGGATAGAGATAGCAGTAATTCTGAAATCGGTCAAAGTTCTTCTCTTGTCATCTGGATGACAATTTTTTGTCCTATCTCTACCAGCAACAGGAGTAGATCTAACTGCTTTCGCCTGCCTCTTTGTAGATCTGTTATTGGTGTTACCAGAGTTCATAGCATTATGCGATCGTTTGTTTGAATTCAATTGCTGGTCTTGATTATTCGCCGGGAAATTTGGACGCTGAGGGATAGCGGCGTGTGTTCTTTGATATTTATGCTGAGGATGGCGTTTGTGGTTGGTTTCGTGAGCGTAAGATTTATTTAGGAAGCCGGTGTAAGTGTTAGTCCGTCCACGCTTCGTTGGTGGCTCAGGCTCGGAACGATTGGGAGCAAGTGGGGGCGGATGAGGAGGTGGATAGTAAGACTGAGTGGGTATGTTTATAGGCACGGGCTGTGCAATTGGCTGCGTCGGATGAGGCTGAGGATAGAAATAAGCTGCGTTGGTGTACGCGCTGTTGAAGGCTGCGTATTCTTGGTGATGGTGGGAGTAAGAATGCGTATACTGCGAGGGTATTTGTTGAATATCTTCTGCTCTGTGTCCATAACCATCTGTGTGATGTTAGAATTACAGCGTGTAAAGGACACACAGAGCACTGACAATTATCAAACGAATTCACAGGATTGCTAGCTTTTTCGTGCTTCTGCTGCGCTGATTGCCTCTTTGACATATAAATTCAAGGTTGATGACAGCTCTTGTTCACCCTTTACCACCACCAATCAATTTCATTATGGATGCGCCTGCACCTGCAGCTCGCAGGTCGGCTTCAGGACGTGCACAGATGTTAAATGGCCTACGCAAACCTTCACAGCTTGAGATTGAGCAGCATGACTTTATCGTGAGTTGTTATACGTCTTGAGCATATACAACGGCTAATCACGCGTTTTATTTTACCAGCTACAACAACAACAAGCCACCATCGATCAGCTTGCAAGTCTGCAGGCTCAGACCCAGCAGATATTCGCTCAAATGGATTTGAATGGTGCACACGCGCCCAACAACCGCGAAGCAATCTCAAATAATATGCAGAACATGACAAGAACACGCAGATTATCTAGTAATCCTCCTCCAACCAGCGCTAATCATCGCTCCAATACTCCCTTCAAAGGCCGTAGACCGGCAAGCTTAAACCTGTCAGCACTCAACACCGCAGCACCAATTCATGAGGAGCTACATAATGCTCCACTACCACACACTGCGATTCACAATTCCAACCAACCTCATCGCAACAACAACGCCAGCAAGAGAAAAACTTACTCTAACTTGGGCCACCTCCCTCCAGTTCCGCAGTCTGCACCTGCTAACGCTCCAAATGGAAGACATTCCTCCTTCCGTGTCCCTTCAGCACTCAATTCTGCAAACAACGCTCCTCAAGGTTGCGTGAGACAACCACGTGGTCCACCTTCAGAAAACCTCGAGGCTGTTAACTTTAGCTCCAGACAACGCAAATTGGCAAGTAGACGTTTGTCTGGTTTGGCTGGCATAGCTGGCGCTAGACGTAGAGTCAGTGTGGCTCCTACTGGTGACCCAATCGATGCATCAAATGGCGATTAAACTGTGTTTATTTTAACACTCCCCTCGAACACCCCAAGCATTATTTACGTTCTACGTACATTCACAATCTCTTTGTATTATAGTGATATCAGCAATCCATTCAAATGTTTTCTTGTGACGCGCCAGTTTGGGAACGAATGCTACAAATGATACGAATACTACGAATGCTATAAATACGACGCAGGGATAGAAGGAGCATACTGCGGAATGAGCCTTGGCAATACTATCCGCGACGTACGTATGTGCCCCTTCAATCAGTGCATGGTGTCACTCGAGGTAGAAGCTAAATCACCTTGATTATACGCAACACAAGATTTGGCGAACGTCCTAATACATTTCGTAGTACAGAATCGAACCTATCTATTACACTCTAGAATAGCACAAAAAAATGTCTTCAGCAGTAGCAAAGGTTGAGGAAAATTATGATTAAAATTCTTAAAAAAATCATAGCCGTAGTCGAATACTCTACCATTGAGCCAGCCGGCCGTGGTGACCGACGCAGGGCTCGAACCTGCAACCTTTCGATATCAGCTACTCCCATTGAGTTATTTTGAACTGAAAGCTTTACTTAAATCAACACAATATAATAAAAGAACAAACTTGCACAAAGAAATGCTCAATTAGTGCAAAACTAATACCTTCAGTTATGTGGGAACATAGACACTAGAAAATATCTACGTGCTGAAGTAGAGTTTTTAGATGCACAAAATCAAAGTTTAGGAAGTCGACTTGTAAGTCCACTCGCAAGCGCTATGCCACCTGTGCAAAACAAGAAAAAACATGTGTTCAAACCACTTGGTATCTGATATAGATATCTGATATAAATAGTTAACTCCACGACGATGACAAAATGCTAAAGTATGATATGATATCCCTAAGTTGGTATGCTTTGAGTTCTCTGTCGTGACAATCTCCTGCCAATGACCACCTTCAGTCCTTGTAAGTGCGGCACCAATAAATATGGTCTCTGAAAAGGCGATCGTCGAAATCCATCTTGTACTCCATAGTATGCAGATGGCAAAATACGCACTCGACCCACAACTTTGTAAGACAGGTAAAGTTCTGATCATAGAGCGCATTTCTAAACTGCTCTATCCACACGAGCGCAAATCTATCATACGCGACAGAGGTAGAGTCAAGTAGACTACCGAAATTTATGTAGAGGGATTCCACACGCGGGTAATTTACCTTGAGGATGGAAGCCAGACCCGGAATGAGTGTTGGCTGTGCAGCGCCAAAGCCCATTCTGAGGTGAGTGACAGTGGTGAGTGCTGGTAATTTCTCGAGATGGTGAAGGTCATCACAAGCCATCTCGAGCGTAGTGACACGTTTGAGCTTGTTGTTAATCATCACAGAGGTTGACAGAACTTCTGCCTTGAGTTGGCCATCGACCTCGCTGTCGTCATTGATGTTGAGTCTCAATTTCTAAACAAAGTAAGCACATCTGAGACGCAGGGCTGCGATCCTACCTCTACGCTCATACAGATATGTTTATCGTTGAGTAGCTGTGTCAAGCTGACCAATTGCCGGCTTATTTCTTTGGGAGTGACAGGCACGAATCTAGAGATGCCGAGATAAGACAGCGATGGGGAAACGTTGAGAGTTTTGAAAAGAGCGTTGTAGCTGAGAATGCGCAGGGTTTTGCATGTAAGTGTGAGTGCGAGTGGGGAGATATCGACGATCATTTCCAGGATCTCAAGCGGAAGCTTGCCGAGGTGGCAGGTGAGCATGTAGCCTAAGCTATTGCGCGGCAATTGCACGGCTCTTGACAGCATTTTTGTGATGATAGAAAGTGGTGGTAGGGGATCAAGGGGGAAAGCGGGCAAAAACGGGAGATGTGGACTGTGAAAATATCATGAGTAGCGATTTAATTGAAATACGTTGTACATGCCTCTAGTCGACATTCAGACACCTTCATTAGATCCGGAATGTCACATTCCTGATGAGCATAATGTACGCGAAATACCCCGTCATCCTTACACAAACGCATACAACAAATGCTACAAGAACTTCTTGCATTTGCGTATGAAGCGCCCAGTCTCCCTATTCCCAATTTGTGCGCGTCGCTCGTTCTCCCCCTCCAAGCGCGTCTATTAGTAGCGCCACCATCAAACTCAAACACTACAACGAGAGTTGTCTTGCTATTTCTAGCTATCAGCGTTGCTGCACTGGGCGAGACTCCAGACACACGCGACAACTTCATCATTGGTTTCACCTACAATGTTTTCATTTTCGCCAGTTGCATGCATTCAGTGCATCTAACTTTCACCACACGTAGCCGAATCGACACGCCCAAGATCATTTCCTTCTCCCAACACGACCACCACGATTTAGGGTGGGGTGGTGCGGTCGAGATGCTGACCAAGTGGGTGTTGCTATCCATTCTCTTTCTCCGTCTTCATCTGACAGGCGCGCAGCCTTCGAGGAATCGGGATGAGCTGGGGGATTGCGCACGAGAAGCTGCCGGCAGTGTATGAAAATTTTGCTTCGAGCCTTCTACTCGATATAGTCAAACATCACGTCATCTCACTCTCCGCTATGGCCGCACTTTCGCGTTTTGGCCAGCACAATCACGGTAAGACGCTGTGCGAATTGGTGGGGTGCGATGTAGCCATCACTGTCGCCATGTTCGGACTTGCTTGGTCTGCTATCACTTTGACGTATAACATATACTCACTTTGTGTCTATACTCTCGCTAAATTGTGCGACTTGCCTTTTGATAACTACAGGTGGCCGCCACTGTTTGGGAACCCTCTCGCCGCTGATAGCATACGCACGTTCTGGAACGATAAATGGCAGTGTTCCTTTAGGCGTCACTTTATTATGTGCGGATATAAGCCGGTTTTTCACTCGCTCAATAGTCTGTGCATTCCTGGTGATATTCCCCACTATTGCGGTATTATTGGTGCCTTCACTGTCAGTGGTCTTCTCCATGAATACTGCATAAGGTGCACGTCTGGTAAGATGCTCATGTATGGCTCATATCCTACTTTCAAATTTTTCATCATGTGGGTGATTAAGACTTGGAAAACAATTCCTAACAGTGTACATTATACAGCTCCGGCTTGGCAATTGTAGTCGAGAACTTGGTAAAGGAATGCACCGGTCGGAGAGTCGGAGGCATTTATGGTCGCTTATGGACCTGGTCCCTCCTCTTCATCCCCGCACTTCACATGTCTAGACAATGTCTTCTTGCGTTCGGTCCGATGTCAGACTTTGTGGATTGGGAGGTATGGAGGTGGTTTGTACCTCTCTCGTTCGCCATCAAAGCGTAGGATAGCAATATACCCAAAGCACATGCATACTATAACTCTCATTGAGTTAACTCAATAACTTATTACTCATGAATAGCATTTATTAATTTCGGAAGCTGTGTGATCAGCGGTCTCAGGCACACTAAAAAGGTGGCAGATGACTATGAGACATTGCCGAGGAACTGTTTCAAAGAGCTTGTGATGTCTAGATGACTGCATAGCTTCGGGTATTACTAAATTGTCCCACACAGCAATCTGAGATATATAAGAGGGTCTTCTTTCTTCCTTAAAGACCGTTAAAATGAAGGTTCAAATTGTTACACTCGCAACTATCGCAGCGCTCGCAGCTGCATTGCCACAAGGTGGTGAGCCTCCAAGTGGAACAGCATCTGAAACGTCTATGTCCACCATGCCAACAGAGAGCACATCTATGCCAGGAGAAACATCTACAATGCCCCCAGAAGAGACGTCTACAATGCCTCCAGAAGAAACGTCTACAATGCCCCCAGAAGAAACCTCCACTATGCCTCCAGAGGAAACGTCTACTATGCCTCCAGATAGCACATCAACGATGCCAAACGGCGTGCCTGCACCAACAGAGACGGGCATGGCGATCCATCCAAATGGTAACATGAGCAAGTGCGTGGATGTTGCCGGAGCAGAATTCAGCAATGGAACACCAGTGCAAATCTACGACTGCAACGACACAGAAGCCCAGAAATTCGTTTTTACAGAGGGTGAGACAAAAGTGAAGGTGAGTTGGTCTTGCAGTATACACGAAGCATGAGCTTACACTAATTCCCATCAGGTGGCCAACCACGATTACTGTCTCGATGCAGGCTCAGATCCAGCCTCTGGAACAATGGCGAAAATTTGGCAGTGCTATGAGGATCTGGATGCACAATCTTTCTATTACACTGACGACTACAGAATGGCAGTCTTGGGAGAAGGGCTGTGTCTCGATCTTACCGACGGCATGATGGCGAATGGGACGGTGTTACAGACCTGGTACTGCACCGACAACAACACCAACCAGATCTGGAATTGAGTTATCTGGACATATTGATTGTAATTCATCCCATAACGACATAACTTTAATCATGACATCATTAAGATAACGAGTATGAGGAATGTATTCATATTTTGGTGTGCTGAAGGAAGGACCAGGCAGGCACGGAGGAGATGCGAGAGCAGAAGCAAGCACGAAGGATAGCACGAGGAAGGCACGAACGTCGAGGAGCAGGAGCAGCGTCAAGTTACAGGATACCCAGAGCTATGAGAACAATGAAAGCAGTGGACACACAAGCGCAACTCAACGACATAGCCGAGTTCGTCAAGCAGACAAGGCGATCGAAGCACATGCGCACGCGCACGCACTTAGACACAGACACAGAAACAGACACAGATGTAACCGCACATGGATCCACACTGATGGGAGAAATGCGGCGACGCCACGAGAGAGAAGTCGCAGCATTGAAGCAGACCCACCTAGAAGAGATATCAGCAGCATGTCGATATCTGCGCGAGAAGACACAACCATCACTAGCATCGCCTTTGTCTAATGCGCACGACGCGCACAAGAAGAGGAGGCGTGGACGCGACTCAGGCATACTCTCTCTAGATACACGCGATACGAATATAACGCAGGAGCAGATCAATATGGCAATTAACCAACGCGATAGATTTCTCAGGGAAGCTGCACGTAAGAAGGACACATCAGGCAGATCAGAAACAGCACACACAGCAAACTCGGCACGCACAGTACACACAGCACACGATATACATCAACCTCAACCTCGACGTCAATCCACTCTGCCGAGCATAAGCTTAATGTTTCCAGGCTACTTTGACCGCAGCAGAGGGGATATATAGAGACATGTACATCATCTTATGTTATATCAAATTACATTATACCACATATACCCACGTACATACGCACGGCGAACGAATTGGGACACGCGGCTGAACGAATAGCACTGCAGCGGACATGGCAACGGAAATGGACACGGAATTGATCGAGACTCTCTTCACCTTCCTTTTATGGCTAGTGAGCGTGTTTAGTGCGAGACTTTCGAATACCAAAACCAAAAAAGTGAGTCGGGGAATCGGGCAGTCGGGCAGCCGGGGAGACTAAGACAGACTAAAAAGGTAATATGAGAGCTATAAAAGAGGCAGGCGAGAAATCTCTTACTTTACAACGCAAAACACAACCACAACACAATGATTGCTCAAACCATCTTCGCTACCGCTCTCGCCGCCACTGTCTCGGCCGGATGGACCTCTAAGACTGGCTCATGTAACACAGGCACCCTCTCATGCTGTAACACCAACAAGAAGGTGCAGAAGTCCACCGGTGAAGAGAGCGGTCTCCTTCACACTGGCGACGTCCTCGACCAAGTTGCCATCCAATGTACTCAGATCCCAGCTCTCATTGGCGTTGCTATAGAAGGTGAGTAAATGCGTTTGTTTTATATGGCAATTGACACCCCTCAGATGAATGTAAGAACACTCCAACCTGTTGTGAGGACGTTGAGGACGATGGTCTCGTCGGTATCAACTGCACCCCTATCTCCCTCATCTAAGCTGGTTAGATGTATGCTTTATGCTTTGTATAACCCGACACATTTGATACTACTTAATAGCTACATTCTGAGTTGTAAAAATTGCACATAAGACATCGCAGACATAGCAACATGGACATATCAGCGCCCGAAATAAATCTGTATTTACACACCAATCACCGCCAAGGGACACGGGGGCCGATAGCGCGCATTCTAAACATGGCAAAGGCGACACCAGCGAGAGTGCCTGAGAGCCTAGACTTGTGCGCTCCGACGGAGTAAGGGGAGGTGAGGGTGTTGTAGGCGTCCCAAGCTACCAAACCGCCAACGGCCATCCTGTGAAAAGTGCATGAGTAATCAGTCGTGAGTGTCGTGCTGCATTAGACACCCACCAAGCCTGCACCGGTAGGAAGAAATAGAGGGAGAAGGTGGCGTGTGGGTTGGCTGCAGCGAAGAAACCGAGCGTGCTACCAACCGCGCCTGTGATGTGTGTGAGATGAAAAAGAAGAGTGAAAAAGTCAAACCATAACACACCCGAAGCACCGTTGGAGGGGTTGGAGAGCGTGGCAGCGGATGCGGCTAATCCACCTCCACAGTAGAGTGCTAGGAAAGTGCGCGCACCTAGCATAGCAATTGCGTGCGGAGCCATCAAGTAGAAAGTGAGCATATTGAAAATGAGTGAATCGACGCGTGTGTGCAGGAAACTGGACGTGAGCAGTGTGTGTAAGCGTCCTGAAGAGAGGTTGTACCAGCTGCGAGGGGTGTGTCAGTGACGTTGCTATCAAGCTGTCGCGCTATCAAGCTGACACGCTATCAAGCTGACACGCTATCAAGCCGACACGCTATCAAGCTGACACGCTATCAAGCTACCACAACTGCTCACCTCGCTGTAAAGTTCTTCAACATAAAGCGCATCCAGCGTGGATCGTTGAAACGTTTCCACTGAGCATCGCTCAATACGAAGAGAGCATACACGGCGACATTCGCCCCCATAACGCTGTATAGGAGGTGGTTGGGGTGTGGATTGAAACCGCGTCTGAAGAAGCGCTGCCAGTTGTCTCTGTGGCTGTTGCCGCTGTTGCCGCGCGGGAAGTAGGTGGTGCGCAGAGCCCTCGTGTGCATCTGCGTGTGTGCATGTGTATGTGGATGCACACCGCCACTCCTCCACTGCAATTGCACTTGCAATCGCCCCGCTAATCGTGATAGCATTCTTATTCCGTTTCCGTCGCGAAGAGAGAAGACAGAAGGCAGCGGACACACGAAAATGGCAGTGCCTGGACAGAAAAAGGAATCGCTTACGCCAAGTGAACTGCATTTCATAGCGACATCCGAATACGTGGTGGAGATTGTACCCAATTTCTCAATGGGCCAGATACGGTTGTTGAGTGTGAGTGGGTGTTTGTGCGCCGTCGACTACGCTAACCCTGCAAAGGGTATCTGGGGACCATTCACACCGCCAGGCAAAGCCAGAGTGCCTCTGTGGCTGGCACTCGATTTGAAGCGGCGGAAGAGGTGCTCGATAGTTGCGCCAGAGTGGATGAGCGTCGATCATCTACAAGAGAGGCTCAAAGACGAGACCACTCACGGCGAGTACGCTGATTTGCCATTCCGGTATTTGGAAATATCAAAAGCGATAATCGGCGTGGCTGGTGAGGATGTAGACAATGCAGCACTCATTCGCAGTCTGCTGATGGATATTCGTCAGGCACGCCAAACAAAGTCGCGTCAAGGTGTTGTCAAGATGAATGACGCGGGCATGGCCATGACGGGGATCTCCCAGCTCGAAATCAACGAACTGCGGCCATTCTTTGTGCAGTCATTTGGCGTGATGAGGAGGCTGGGTGGTGCACATGTCGCAGCGCCAATGAGCCAGTCGACGCAGATACCAAGCCAGTTTACCCTGGATGAGGATGGATGGGATGTGAGTGGGGTGTAGCGGGATATAACGAGCAGGTGAAATGAGCAATAAGGAACTGTAATAAGTTAAAATACACGAATCTATGTGATGCAAGTGTGGTTAAAATTTTCACAATTTTCACTTGTAGAGCCTTCTCAGTCGAAATAACCCGCTAAAACAAACTATCTTCATCTCTCAAATACTCACCGACATCAGCTTGATGGAAAACGACGAGGCCAGTGGGGTCTAGCTTGCGGGTATCGACAGTGGATCTCGCGCTGACACCGAAACCGAGGGGGACATCAGCCATGCTAAGAACGACGACACCTTGATGTTCGGGGGTGTCTTCAGTGATTCTGCCGAGGTGTGCCTTAACGACGTGATTTCCGTAGAGGAAGGGAAGTTCACCGTTTGGTTTAACCCAGACCTGAGAACGGGGTTAAGCGGGTGTATAATCTATAGCCACGGCTGCGCACCTTAAACCTCGCCCACCTCGCCAGAACATCCAACGAGCCAATTCCAAGTTTAAATTTTCCAGATTTTGTGAATTTTCCGAGGCATTGACCGATGCTAATGAGATTTGGACGGGCAATAGACGTGGCGAGGTTGTTTATAGGGGTGTTGAGGAGGAACACCTTATCCTTCTGTAGCCTGAGCAGAGGAGCTGTGTCTTCGTCGAGGTCGTCTGCATCTCCAGCAGGATTGATGACGTGAACGAGGTTCTTGCCCTGGGATCTTGATCAGATAGTTCATCGCAGCCGCACACCACGTACGACGTAATTGGCCAGCTTTTCAAACACAGCGCGTGTCTCTTCCTCTGTGAGTGGTCTCCTGGGAGTGTATGTGAGCGGAATATCCCAATATTTATCCAAAATTACATTTTATTTTTGAGTTTTTCTTGATGGCTGTTGCTGTTCAAGGTGGTGTCCCCGCCTCCATCTCACCCACCAACGCCCAATTGGAAAAACATCGAAATGGTCTTCAGAAATTCCTACGACTCTGACAACACCGTTTTCTCCCCACAAGGAAGACTCCACCAGGTCGAATACGCTTTGGAAGCTGTCAGGCAAGGTTCTGCCGCTGTTGGGCTCAGGAGCAACACCCACGCAATTCTCCTCACTCTCAAGCGCTCTACCGGCGAGCTTGCCAGCTACCAGCAGAAAGCGTTCAAGATCGATGACCACCTCGGTATTGCGATCGCTGGTCTCACCAGTGACGCACGCGTTCTCAGCAACTACATGCGCAATCAAGCCATGTCCTCTAGGCTCCTCTACGGCCGTCCAATCCCCGTAAACAGAATCGTCTCGCAGATCGCTGAGAAGGCGCAGCTTGCCACTCAGCAATACGGCAGACGTCCTTATGGTGTTGGTTTCCTCGTTATTGGTCAGGATCAGACTGGCCCTCACCTCCACGAATTCAGCCCAGACGGCAACGCCTTGGAGTATGTAGCCATGTCCATCGGTGCACGCTCTCAAATGGCTAAAACTTATCTCGAGAAGGAGCACGATAAGCTGGCAGAGTGTAGTTTGGATGAGCTCATCCACCACGGCTTGCAATCCCTCAAGGCTTCTCTCCAGCAATCTAAAACTCTCACCCCCCTCAACACCTCCATCGCCATCGTTGGTCCTCCAGGTCCAAACGAGTCTGGCGTCAAGAGCGAAGGCTCCTTCAGAATCCTCGAGGGTGACAATGCTAAGCCATACATCGATGCCTTGGGTCAGGAGGAGCAGACACAAGCGCAGACACAGCCAACGCAGCAAAGGGATGTCACTATGCAGGAGTAAATGAGATGTGAGTATATGTATGACTATGATAATATCCAGTGTGAAACATGAAAATTTTATGCATGATGTATCATGTATGATGCATTACCTATTGTACTGTTGTGTTTATCTTCCTTTGCGATTGCGCTTGCAGGAGGCCCTTCTCCCACTGCGCTCTGACTCTCGCCGCCATCCCGGGTCTGCGCAACGACGCGACAAGGGCGACGTACGCGCTAAGCAGGGCGACAGAGCCAGCCTGATGAGCCGCAGCGAGGGGAATAGGAACGAGGTAGAGGAGAGTGCTTATGCCTAAGGAAGCCTGCAAAACCACAGTGCCTGACGTAACATTGAGTAGTGTTTTAGTGAGAGGTGGCAAGCTCTTCTTCACACCTGGGCTGCGCAATGCCAGTGCGTGCATGGCCAATGTGCCAATGAGGGTGGTAGTGGCGAGTATGCGATGGTCCATCTGCGCCGTCGAAGGGTTTTCCGTCATGTTGCGCCACCACAAATCAGCTCCGTCTGCTCGCCGCGAATAGCGTTTATCCCAGACCTCGTTCCACGGTGGCGACACGCCCTCACCCATCCACGGGAACTCGTTGTAGATAAGCCCCGCATCGAGCCCGGCAACGAACGCACCCGAAAGTGCCGTGAGGAAAACTACACCCAAACCTGTGCGCGCGAGTACCCTGAACTGCCTCAGTGGTCGAGTCGCACTCTTGCCAAGCACCTTCTCTGGCTGGTGCACCCCGCTCACACTACCACCCCCACCAACGGCCCAGTCACGCGCCGATGCCAGCCCCGCATAGAGCGTGGCTACATAGAGCGCGAGTGCTGCACCCAGATGCGCAGCGAGGCGGTGCTGGCTGACGCGGGGAGTGGCGCCAGCGTGCGCGAAGTTCTCCTCCTTCAGCCCACTCTCCACCATATACCACCCGAGGAAGCCCTGGAAAGCTATGCCAAGCCCCAAGCCACCGACTGCCCAGCGCATCCCGCGGGATAGCTGCCGACGCGCGACCAAGTACCCCGCTGGAAGGATAAACGCAACACCTATCGCCCTCCCGAATACCCTGTGCGCCCATTCCATCACGTAGATCCGCTTGAAATCCTCGAGGGATATGCGGCTGTTGAGCCTGGTGGGAGTGAGTGGTGTGTATGTGTGTGTCTTACCAACTCACATTCTATACTCAGGCGTCTGCTTGTACTTGTCAAACTCAGCCTGCCAATCCTCCCCGCGTGGCAGCGTTACGCCTGTGATGGGCTTCCATTCTGTGATACTCAATCCACTCTCCGTAAGCCGGGTGACGCCACCGACAACAACGATCCCCGCTATCAACGCCGATAGTGAATAGAGCCATTTTGAGGCGCTAGGGTGGGTGAGTGTGGGTTTTGGCGTGTGCGTGGGTGTTGGTGGTGTCTGTGAGTGGATTGATCTGAATGGTGCTATTCTCCAGCGAGTGGGGTGTACGCTGTTTTTGCCTTGTATGCCGTGTACACCTCGAAAAGCCCCCGAGATTCCAACCGGCCGGGAATAACTCAAACATCTAAACATGATCGTTGTCTTCCAACTTTCAACGACGATGAATAGAATATCAAATATGGCGAGAAGCTCTGGCTTCAGGAGCAGCATTAGAGCACCAGCCACAGCCACAACTACAACCACTCCACTCCGCTTCTACTCGGATGCCACTGCCACCACCGCTGAACAGCCTCTGGCCGGTGAAGCTCGGATCAAGCAGAAGCTATCAGACACCTTCAGCCCATCTAAGCTCCAAGTCATGGATGTCTCTGGCGGCTGTGGCTCTTTCTACGCTATAAACATCGCTTCAGACTCCTTCAAAGGCCTAACAACGGTTAAACAACATCGTTTGGTTAACGAAACCCTTAAAGAGGATATCGCTGGTATACATGGTTTGCAAGTGGGTGTATTCCTCATAAGCTTCTTACTCCTACTCACCCCCACACAGCTCAAAACAGCCGCTGAATAATCCTTTTAGAATCTTGTATTATAATTCATTGATCGTGCAAGCATATCGTTAATCTTAAAAAGTACGCATGCAAAATGCGATTGAGTTCGCTAATCTTGGGTGCGCCAAAAGAATGCAAAAATATTAGCCCCACGCGGGGCTCGAACCCGCAGCCTTGTGATTAAAAGTCACCCGCAGCCTTGTGATTAAGAGTCACACGCTCTACCGATTGAGCTAGCGAGGCTAGTTATCATGGCTTATTAACTTCAAATTATAATCAGATTGCAGCCTTAGACAAATTTTTTTCATTCCAAAGAACGCTGTAGCACATCAAAGGACTATTTTGCCATAGAAATGCTTGTATATAACAAGCTAATGTCTAATTCGAATAGATATTATCTGATATCTGCCCCCTCAATGCTCCTATATTCCACATGACATCATGAGCATATGATCATAATGTAGTGTGAAAAAGCGCAGTCAATCGCAGTCGCAGTTAAACATCAACGTTCATAACAAGAAGCAATCAGAATGTCTTTGAGAACAGCAAGGTTAGTAATCGCTGCCATTTCCCGCCAGAGCTGACGCAGATCAGCACGCCGCTCCTAGGCGACAGAGAAAGAAGCAGTGCAGAAGAGAGTTTGAGAGGGAAGCAAAAGCGGAGGAAATTCCTACGCTACATCAAGGTACTACTCCCACTCCTGCTATTCACATTTCTATTTATCGTGGGTGCGCTGACACTATACAAGAGCTGGGACGTGGCGAAACATCCACCTACAAATGCTCTCCATCCACCCACACAGCCGTATGCACCAGACGTGCAACTAAGCACGCCGTGGACGGACGACGCGGTGGCCGGGAAGGGATGGCAAACGCATCCGCGGCCGACACTCTACAGAAACGCGTGGAAAACACTCAACGGGATCTGGACATACTCACCAGCACACGCTGCAGACGATATCGCTCACCCGCCCTTTAACCAGACACTAAAGCGGCAAGTGCGTATCCCCGCCTGCGCAGAGAGCGGGATGAGCGGTGTAGGCGAGGACAGGAGTGAGTGGATGTGGTACAAGACGCGTTTCGACGCGTTGGAAGCGGGTGGGAGTGAGAGTAAAAGTGAAACAGACACACGCGACCGCCACATCCTCCATCTCGACGCAGTCGATTACGAGGCAGTCGTATTTGTCAATGGCGTCCAAGTCGCCGCTCACACAGGTGGATACACGCGTTTCAGTGTGGATATTACTGAGGCGATGAGCGTACGAGCGGATGCAGAGGCACACGCACACCCACACGAGCTCATAGTCTGGGTGAGAGACCCAACAGACTCGCTCGACGAAAACATACCGCTCGGGAAGCAGCGCACTGTCGATATGCACATGTTCTTCGCGAGCTGTAGCGGGATATGGCAGAGTGTGTGGCTCGAGCGCATACCTCGGGAGTACATAACGCAAGTTGCCGTGCAGGGCGACCAGTGGGGAGTGGTGCGCGGGGCTATCTACACGAACAGCAACGATACTGCGCCCGTACACTTGGAGCTGCATGAGCAGGAGCAGCACTCGTCACGACCACTCGCAACCCACACCGTCCCCTCAAACACCCCTTTCGAATGGTCTGTTGAGGGTGTGTCGCAGTGGAGCGTCGCCCACCCGCATCTTTACACGCTCTCAATCCACACAGACACAGACACCGCCGATAGTTATCTGGGTTTCCGCAGCGTTTCGAAAGGCATGGTAGATGGAGCACTCAAGCCACTCGTCAACGATGAGTTCATCTTCACTCTCGCCACCCTCGACGAAGGCTACTGGCCTGACGGTCTTTATACGCCGCCATCCGAGGGAGCGCTTCAATACGATATTGGCTACCTCAAACGATTGGGATTCAGCGGGATACGCAAGCATATCAAAGTCGAGCCAGATGTTTTTTACTACATGTGCGATAAGATTGGTATGCTCGTTTGGCAGGATATGCCGTCTCTCATGCACGATCGCACTCCAACCGACGCGCAGATAGCCGAGTTTGAGCGACAGAGCGTGGAGATAGTGCGCACACACTCACACTTCCCCTCCATCGTCACGTGGGTGCTGTACAACGAGGGCTGGGGGCAGGCTGATGGCGGTGTAGAGGAGGCATTGGTGGGGAAAGTGCTTAATGTGGACAAGTCACGCTTGATCGACGCAGCAAGTGGATGGAAAGATAATGGGTTTGGGGACTTTCACGATACACACCACTACAGCGAGCCATTGTGTGGATTGAACGTGGAGACGTCGCTGGTGACACCTCCCGATGCACATGCACATGCACACAGGATAGAGGTTAATATGGAGATGGGCGGAGTCGGCCATCTCGCACCATCGCAGCACAATTGGTTTGATATGCGCACTTATAAAGACACTTACGAGATAGCGGGGGATGTACAGACGTGGAATTTCCGCACACTGTCTATACTGCGCGAGTTGAAGGAGCAAGTCTTGTTCACTGGGAGGTGTGCAGGTGCAGTGTATACACAGACTAGCGATATAGAGAGTGAAGTGAATGGGCTGCTTTCGTATGATCGCAGATACAGTAGACCGGATGTGAGGAGGTGGCGGGAGGCCATTCGGGGATTATATGAGTCGAGTGGGAGTATTTATAAAGTAATGACGTAATGAATGGTATCAATGGTTTTCGATAGCGACCTCTTCAAGTTGCCATGTAAGCCTGCTCAAGCTCGTCTAACTGTGCCTGCTCATCCTTAATCATAATCTCATAGCGCTCTTTTTGGAGACTGAGTTTCTGCAGCACGCCAGCATCCTCGGCGGTGAGATTAGATTTAGCTTTAGTGGCCAAGTCATGCCTCCGCTGAGCTTTAAGTTTGAGGTGAGCGTGTTTCTTCTGGAGGGATTTGAGCGCGACCTCTGCTCTCATAACGAGTGAGCGTATCTGAGGTTCAATGTCATTAGCAAGCTGAGTTTTCGCGTTGTTGACTTGAGATTCGCTAACGAGAATGAAGTGACGGTTGAACTCGGTGATTTGCCTGAATCGATCAACGTCGCTGAGTGTGCTGCGTAGATTGCTCAGGGCGCTGTCTGCCTCGTCCACGCATCCATCCGCGGCTATCTGGCACGCGTAGAGGCTTTGGTAGAACTGGAGGGGATTGTTGTTGCTGTTGTTGTTACTGGGCTGTGATTGGCTCATTTGAATATTTATTTGATTTTAAGTTGATTAAATTGCTCCTCGTGTTATTCAACGCGTCTCTTGATTTTTTATTTTATTTTTATTCTCGGCCAATTTACTTAGTTGGGGAGTGAGTTGAAATAAAATTTCTTTCAAACCAACTGCGAAGACGGAGTGATACGCGGTGCACTGTGTTTTATGAGTTGGTCATATAATACTGTGCACAGCGGATACACACCGCACACACCGCACACCGGCACTTTCGAAGCCTCTCTAGTAGTTGACTCGTCGACGTTGACTAGCAGGGGTCAAAAAGGCGCCAAAAGCGACAGCAGAGGGGGTTTCTAATGTGTGGGAGAGTGTATGACACTCCACGCAGACCTTCTCGTGCAACATTATTGACTCAATTTACTTGAAAATTTGCATTCATATGTACACATCAACTTATCTGCTTATTGACTGCCTCTTTGACGCGTGCATAAACATCATCTACAGAAGCAGTGCAGTCTACTTGGACGACCTTGTCCATTTTCTGGTAATGCTCAATCACCGGCATCGAAGTGTTGATGAAGGTGGCGAATCTCTTCCTGATAGACTCCACATTATCGTCGTCTCTGCCTGAGGTTTGCGAGCGCTTTAAGAGACGCTCCTCCATTGTGCTCTCTGGGCAATTGAGGTAGAGTACGAAACGGGAGTTGCAGATGTGCTCGTCGAACGACAACGCCTGGTCCATCTGTCTGGGGAAGCCATCAATGAGGAAGCGCGTAGTGTTACGATGCGTTATGGCATCGTCCATCGCGTTTTTAAGCAGATTAAGTGTGACGTAGGATGGGACAATGCGACCTTCCCTGATGAACGACTTGATCAGTTCACCAGCCTCACTGCCTTCTCTGGCTTGTTCTGCGCGGAGCAAATCGCCCGCTGTTTACCTATGTGTGAGCATGCACACCACCAACACACCTCACCCACCAGACAAATGACAGAAGCTGTAATCCTCTACTAGCCTTCCACACTGCGTGCCTTTACCTGCACCTGGACCACCGAGTACGAATATAACCAAAACCTGTGAACTGTCGAAGGATGCCATTTTTCAGCGTCTGATTGGTGGAACTAAAGGGTGTTCAAATTGAGTGCGTTGGGGTTGTTGACTGCGTGATTTGGAGAGAGTCGAGAAGGCGACAAATGAGGCTACGAGTACTGAAGACAGAAGTACCACTTGCTGTCTTTGCATGTGGTGTGGTGGGATTGAGGTGTGTACAAGGTGTAGCCTTTAAGATTTTCAAGTGACTGGTTCAATTGGCGGCGGTTCTGTGTGGCTCTGCGGTTGCTGCTTATTTACCGCACTGCCACGCTATCACGCCTCACCACGCCTCACCACACCGCTACGTCACCCAACCATCAACTGATCAGCAACAAGGAATGTCCAAATTTTAAATTAGTTGTGCGTTTATTAAGTCCATTCAACGACGTCTTTGAATATCATATTATAACGTTATAAACACGATGAATAGCAGTAGTGTGAAAAATGGCTCAAGTACAGCCAGCACTAGCACGGCAAGTACGCGTGGCAGACAAACCCAGCGACAAATATTTGGTAGCTCCATATTCAGAGAGCAGAGTGAGAGGAGAGTGGCTGGGATTACCAGATCGAATAGCTCCGATAGTGAGGGCACGCCGAATAACGACACGCACACGCTTCCTGGAAAACACTGGATGGGTGGGTGTAGAATGAGCTGAGGTGTGAAATGGCCCTACAAGCAGCCCATATAAGCAAGACATACTTGCAACAACAAGGATATACAAGACATACAAATACCCAACCAACTGCGATTACTCCTACCACTAACACACTTTACAATAATACATTCCATTCTGCCAGTATTCTCTGCTTGCGTTGCTGTGTGACTTGTGTGTGTTATGCTTGTATTCTCTATCGACACACCCACGCCACTCACCCACCGCCAATATCTATCGGTGGAATAAATTAAAGTCATTTGAGTTTCCCGATCACGCTCACTTCAGGCACTGTTTCGACGGCTGTGTCTTGCGCGTCTTGTTTGTCTTGTCTGCCCGATCTGCGCTGTTTGGAAGGCCTCTTCTCCCACTCAATCCGCCTCCTTGCACGTCGGACTCTGTGCCTGAGTGTGTGTCAAATGAGTGCAACACGCGCACAAGACCAACTTTGCCGAGTTTGTCTGATTGGCCCCGGGCATAGCGATGTTGATGGTATTAAAGTTAATGACGCTATCAAAACACTTGTGAAATAATTAGATGAAAATTTACAAACCATACTACACACGCTCCTCCCACTCCCTCTCATACTTCCTCCTCTTCTTGTTCTTCTCCTTGTTGATTTTCTGTTTCTCGCCAAATCGACCATCATGCATGGCGACACTAGCGAGACGTCTAGCCGTGAAGACGCTATTGATATTTTCGAGTACGCTGTTCTCTGGCATGGGATGCTCGTCCATAGTGACACCAGTGACGCCTTCAATCGCACCAACGAGCTCGACGTCTCTTTCAGCAACGAAGCTAACACTCCAACCTTCCCTTCCCGCTCTAGCAGTCCTACCAACGCGATGAATGTAGTCGGTTGGGTTACGCGGGAGGTCGTAATTAACGACGAGCGCCACCTCGGGAATATCCAATCCACGACTGCCCACATCCGTCGCTACGAGTACGGGTATGATAGCGCTGCGAAAGAGAGACAGGCTGTGCAAGCGTTCTGATTGACTGAGGTAGCTGTGCAAGGGCACGCAGCGAATGCGCATGTTTTGCAGTAGCAATGTGAGTTGGGCGGCTGTGGCGCATCTCCCACAAAATACTATCGTCGGTGGCGGCTGCATCGCTTGTACTTCCATTTCCTCTGCACTCACCTCCTTCACTTTGCGCTTCCGCCGGCGCTGGTTCTGCTCGTCGAATGCATTCTCGCTCACTGGCGCAGCGAGATCCGGTGGAGTGTGACGCAAATGTTCCAGCTCCTCCGGCGGATTGGTGAGGAGGTGCGCCAGGTACACGTCGCGGATATGCGACGGCAGGTGCACGTATTTCTGCACGAGTGATTTGGGAGTGGACGTGGAGTCGTGTGTGAGGTGCACGAAGGGTTTCTGTTTTCCCTTGCTGGGTGGTTTCCGCGCAAGAGCCTCGATCTCGGCCGTTGCTGTGGCTGTAAAGAGAAGTGTTTGGCGCTGGGAAGGGAGGTGGGAGAATATCTCAGCCAGCTCTGGTGCAAAAGTGCTACTTAGGAGTCTATCAGCCTCGTCGAGAACGAGATAGCGCGTCTTGCTCAGCGACCACTCCTCGCCTTTGGATTTAAGCAGCTCAGCGAAGCGGCCGGGTGTTGCGATGACCATGTGTGGTCTGCGCTGGAGCTGCGTCGCTTGGTCGAGCAAATCCAACCCACCAACGACAACAGGCGCTTTGAGATTCATGTGTGCGCCAAGTGCGTGGAACTGGTCAGCTATCTGGAACGCTAGCTCGCGTGTAGGCGTGAGGACTACAGCACAAATGCCGTACGGGTCAAGCGTGAGGTGCTGCAGTATAGGCAAACCAAAGGCAATGGTCTTGCCTGAGCCGGTCTTTGCGCTCGCAATGCAGTCGCGCCCGGACATGATTTCATTCAAGCAGGCGTGTTGGATGGGAGTGGGAGTGTGGATGTTGAGCGTGTGCAGCGCCTTGACTAACGATGGGTGTACGCCCATTTCCGTGAATGTCCGAGTGTCCCCTGTGGATTCTGCGGCCGTGGCTGGGACAGCGGGAGAAAGCGGGGCCTTGGAAGTGGATGGCCTGCTAACACCACCAGCACTCCTACTCAACCCACTCCTCACGCTAATTTCCTCATTTTCCATATTTTCACGTTGAGAAACGGGGAAAAGAGAAGACGCACCTTCACCGCCAACGACAAAGCCAGATAAATATTGAATTATAAAAATGCCGCCATCGCACGTGATAGGGAATGTGAGTGAGTTTGTGTGCAGCCATCCACCACTCACACCCACCACAGACATCACTCGCCTTCTCGAGAGCGTGGCACTCGGTCGACGCAAAGGACCGCGTACTCGGCCGACTGGCTGGCAGCATAGCCCACACGCTCATGGGCAAGCACAAGCCTGTGTACGATCCAGCAGGTGCGTTGGGGGCATCCGCCCGAGGAACCAGGCCACTCACTCACACTCACACTTCCAGCCGACTGCGGCGACTATGTCATCGTCAAGAACGCTACAAAGGTCCTCACCACCGGCAACAAAGCTGAACAGATGGTCTACCGCTCCCACACGGCTTACGCTGGTGGTCTCAAGGAAATCAGCTTCAAGCGCATGTCTCAGAACAAACCAGACGAAATTATTCGCAAGGCTGTTAGAGGCATGCTGCCAAACAACCCCACGCGCAAATTCCTCTTAGACCGCCTGCTAATTTTCACCGGTGACGTCGTTCCCGATTCTGTGCAGGGGAATGTGTCAAAAGACTACACAGCAGGTGATACGCCTCAGGCGCAGGCCAGTCAAGGCTGGAAGGGCATTGGCGGTAGGAGAAGTAAGGAAGGTGGTCCTAGATGGCACAAGAGTAGTTATGGTAGGGCATAATCAGCGTAAGCACACACGCTACATTGTACAGTATACATTCTCTAGATGATCATTTTTTCACTCTCTATGGCCGACGTCGAAAGCGATCACAGCGAGGACAGCCTTTTCGACGGGAGTGAGCTGCTTGACACTTGCACACACCTCCAAAACCTCCCAATCGTACACCAATTCCCTCCAATAAACATCCCAGGGCTGCACCTCGACCAAGAAGCTATTTCCCCCGAGACACAATCTCAAATTCTCTCACAGCTCTCTTTCGACCCACCCAGCGTAACACAGCATGTCATTTTTGGTACTCTGCCGCCTTTCTTGGGGTGTTTAGTGGAGCAGCTTAGAGTGCGAGCACAGAGCTACATATGCCTAAACACGCACACCAAGTTATTCAACCAAGTGGACAATCGGCAGTGCATAATTAATGTTTATGGCTACAACGAGTCACCTAGTGCTTATTACCTCCCTCAGCATACGGACCTTGAGTGCTTTGGCGAGGGCGTTATTATACTCAGTTTAGGCAGCAGTATTGCTATGAAGTTTGAGAGTCTTGCAGATGGTGCAAACGACTCTTTCGAACTCCTCCTCAGACCTGGCAGCGTCCTTTATTTGACAGACGACGCTCGCTATCGCTGGACACACGGCATTGCCCCACGCACAGTCGACAATGTCCATAATGTCGGCCTATTACAGCGAGGCGTTAGAGTTGGCGTAACGCTACGCTACTATAATGAGTGAAACAATCCATTTTATCAACAATTACAATCATGTATTATTTTATTTTATCATATGAAACTTTAAAAAATTGTATCAACTAGTAAAATCATCTATTCCATCATCCCTCCATTTACTCCAATATAAGCGACAACAAGGCCATTCTCGCAAACAATCCATATCTCATTTGACGGAAGTACGCAGCGCGGTTATCAAAGTCGAGATTTGGATCGATTTCCTGTAATCTTGGTAATGGATGCATGACGATGGTTGTAGGTTTAGCTCTATCCATCGTCGCATTGTCTAGTATATATGCATCCTTGACCGCTTCGAATTCGTGCACTGAGTTGAATCTCTCTTGTTGCACGCGCGTCATATAGATGACATCCGACTTGCCAATAACTTCGTCCAGGCGTGGTGTCTCAAAGTAGGTTACACCAGCCTTTCTACACTCCGCCTTTATGCTGTCTGGCATGTTGAGAGTGAGTGGTGAGACAAAGTTGAGGTGCACATTGTATAGGTTGAGCAATTTGACGAGCGAATGTACTGTTCTGCCATTCTTCAAATCACCTACCAATGTAATCGTAAGTCCGTTAACTGTACCAAGCTCCTCACTATATTATTGTCAGCTTGTCATCTTCTACGCACATCACCCCACACTCACCGGATTGTGTAGATATCCAAGAAGGCTTGTGTTGGGTGCTCACCCGTTCCATCGCCAGCATTGATAATTGGCACTGGTGAGAACTTGGATGCCGTCTGCACTGAGCCTGGCTGTGGATGCCTCATTACCACTCCATCAGCGTAACATCCAAGTGTTCTGATCGTATCAGCTAGGGACTCTCCTTTCGCAACCGACGACTTGTCCACTGGAATTGTCAATACTGTACCACCGCATCTCTTCATTGCGGCGTCGAACGATGCTGATGTTCTGGTAGACGGTTCAAAGAACAAACTACACAGCACTCTACCCTTGAGTATGTCCGCACTACCATACTTCTCAACATGTGTTCTCAACTCTGAAGCAAGTGTAAAGAGCACGTGAAGATCATCCCTGCTAAACTGTTTAACAGAAAGTATGTGGCGTCTTCTAAACGCTGGGTGTGACTTAAGTGCTGTAAGGTTGCTCTTTCCAGTTGCAATTGAACCTATAAGACTGGTTGGGTGGGTTACCTCAGTTGGGCTGGCCGCTTCCATGCTTGTTGCCTTGGTTGGAGATGGCACACCAGTGATAGACTGTGTAGCTGGTCTTGTTTGCTGAGAGAAGGACGATCTCGCATTTCTCTGCTTCCTGATTGGTCCAGCCACCGTCAAATCTCTACCGGAAGACTTGGCGACGTTAACACCAGCCAATCTTACTGTCTTACCGTAGAACACAACTCTATCAACCTGTCCCTTGACTGGCTTGCCGGAAAGTGGTGACCAAAGACCACTACCTACAGAGAATGTGGCTGGTCTGTCCATCTCCACCTCCACATATGTGCTTGGTTGATCTGGCAAGTCAAAGATTGTCTTTGGAGCGTCGTGGAAGCGCGAGATAATATCTTCAAGACTCAGCTTGTTCTCTGCAACAGCGCTGAGCAACAATGAAACACTCTCAGCCATACCAGCTGATGCATTTGCCGCTTGCCCAACAGCCACAGCCAGCTCATGTGGTACTGTTCCAACACTGAACATGTCAATCTTGTCAAGATTGTCCCAGAGCGCTTGCTGATCAGACTTGGTTGGAAGAACAGTCGCAGCTGGATAATCTTCTCTTGAGAAGAAGAGCGAATAAACGGCGACATCACAAGTAACCTTTAAGTCTCTACCCTTGGACAAAGCGATCAAGCTGATGTCGTCACGGTTGCTTACGTTGGTGACGTGAATTGAACGGCCGTGAAGAGATGCCAACAGCAAGATACTTGCAAGATCAGTAGAACGTGCATCCGTAACGATTGGCTTGCCAGATGGCCATGAACCGAAGTGTGACGCGATAGTTGCAACCTTGTTAACGTTACCAGAGAGCTTGTTAAATGGAACATAGAGTGATTGGACATCCTCTTCAATTGCATCCAACCCATCGACGTTATCAGGTGTAGCACTAACGCTGAGTACATAATCGCAGCGAGACTTTTGAGCGTTTGTGTACATAGTTTGAAGAGATTTGGCGTTTTCAACACCCATTGGAATCACTTGAGAGACAGTGAAACCTCCTTCAAGTGCCGCCAATGAAGCCTTCTCGAATGCATCTGAGTTTGGCTCAGCGATCTTGTCAGTATAGCCTTGAACGTTGATCAATCCAGGTAAGGTGAATGTGCGGTGCGACGTCTTGTAATCGACGCTGTCGACTTCAAGTGATGGCCTGCGAAGGATTGCCTCGATAAGTAACTTAGCGCACTTGACATTGGTGACAAGTGGAATAGCATAGTCAACTGCCATTCTACGAGATTGATAACCCTTACTCATGAAGCTTGCTGGACGACGATAGCGGTTCTTGGATGGCAAGTTGATGTAGAGGTCGATCAAGTTGTTTGCCAAGTGCTGAGTGAGTGAGTACTCAGACTTCTGAGAATCGGTCTCAGTGATGGCTTCGAGATACTTGACTGGAATACCGTGCTCTTGGATAAAGTCTGCAGTACCAGAGGTGGCGAAGAGATTGTAGCCTTGACGGTTGAGATTTTGCACCACTGGCAACATCTCCATCTTCTCCTTGTATGAACCGATAGAGAAGAGAATGTTTTTCTTTGGCATATGCATACCAGTCGCCATCAATGCCTTCACATAGGCTTCGTACTTGTCTCTACCAAAGCAAGCAACTTCACCAGTAGAAGCCATCTCAACACCAAGAACTGGATCAGCACCAGATAATCTTGAGAATGAGAATTGAGGAACCTTAACACCAACGTACTTTTCAGGAAGGTTGATTTCAGGGTAAGGTTTGAATGGGAAGTTGCACATTGCGTTAGTAGCCAACGCGATGGCGTCAACGTTGGTAACTTTGCTTACGAATGGGAAAGAACGAGCAGCACGCAAGTTGCATTCAATAACCTTGACTAAGAGCTGTGTGTTAGCAAAGCATTTCACTCCAAGCCATTTACCCACTCTCGTTGTTTTTGGCAATGAATTGGATGTTGTATGGACCGGTAACATTCAAAGCCTCACCAATCTTGGCAGTAGCTTCAACGATACGTCTGACAGTCTCTGGAGCGAGGTCTTGAGGTGGAAGAACAAGTGTAGCGTCACCAGAGTGAACACCAGCGTTCTCAATGTGCTCAGAGATGTAGTGCATAATCATCTTACCATCCTTAGCGATAGCATCCATCTCAATCTCCTTGGCATCCTCAATAAACTTGGAAATGACAACTGGGTAGTCTTGGGAGACGGCGGTTGCTTGAGTGAGGTAGTTCTCAAGATCGTCTGGTGAGCTAACAACGTTCATAGCAGCACCAGAAAGCACGTAAGAAGGTCTAACAAGGACTGGGAAGCTGACCTTTTGACAGAACTTGTAAGCTTCTTCAAAGCTAGACAACTCCTTCCATTGTGGCTGATCGACACCGATCTTGTCCAACATACGCGAGAACTTGTAACGGTTTTCTGCCGTATCAATCATCTCTGGTGAAGTACCGTAGATATGCACGTTTTGACGATAGAGTGGCAACGCAATGTTATTTGGAGTCTGACCACCCATGGACAAGATGACACCAGTAGAACGCTCCGCGTCATAGATATCCAACACGGTCTCAAGAGAGATGTTCTCAAAGTAGAGCCTATCAGCCTCATCGTAATCGGTGGATACAGTCTCAGGGTTGTAGTTGATCATGACTGTCTTGGTACCTCTTGCTCTGAGTGTGCGAATGGTAGAGACGGCGCACCAATCAAATTCAACAGATGAACCGATTCTATACACACCTGAACCCAAAACAATAACACCCTTATCCTCAAATCCAATATCGCTAGCTGCAGCATTGTATGTGGTGTAGAGGTAGTTGGTGAATGCTGGGAACTCGGCAGCGACGGTATCAATTTGCTTGACGTGTGGCACGATACCTGACTCCTGGCGAAGACGACGGACAGCGAGTTCGTTCGATCCCAAAAACTTGGCGAGTTGGCGGTCCGAGAAGCCCATTTGCTTAGACTGGCGGAGGAGTTGAGGGGTGACAGTGGTGGTGTTGTAGTCACTGACGAGTATTTTTCTTAGTTAGCTAGTCTAACCTACACGCAGCACCCAACTCACCTTAATATCTTCTCCTGCTCAATGAGATTCTTAAGACGGTTCAAGAACCATCTGTCGATGTTGGACATCTTGTGTATATCATCGATAGTGTATCCCCTAACGAAGGCGTTGGCGATGGCAAACACACGCCTGTCAGTTGGGTTGACCAACTCCTCGTCAATCTCTGCTTTCTCCATTACGAATGGGTTAGTACCGAACCCGAAGAATTGATCATCGATACACCTGATGGCCTTCTGCATGGTCTCTTCGAATGATCTACCGATAGCCATAACCTCACCGACACTCTTCATAGAAGAGTTGAGCACCGTGTTAACTCTGTTGAATTTCTTGAGATCCCATCTTGGAATCTTAACAACACAGTAGTCGAGAGATGGCTCGAAGCATGCAGTGGTTGAGCGTGTTACTGAGTTTCTGATTTCGTTAAGTGGGATGTTCAAACCAAGCTTGGCAGCGGTGTAAGCGAGCGGGTAGCCAGTTGCCTTAGATGCGAGGGCAGATGAGCGCGAAAGACGAGCGTTGACTTCGATAATGCAGAATTCCTTGGAGTGTGGATTGAGGGCGTATTGAATGTTACACTCACCTACAACACCCAAGTGTCTAATGACTTTGACAGCAGTTGAACGAAGTCTATTGTAGTCACTATCTGAAAGTGTCTGAGATGGAGCTACGACAATTGAGTCACCAGTGTGTATACCAAGTGGATCAAAGTTCTCCATGTTACAGACAGTGATACAGTTATCACGGCAATCTCTGACAACTTCATACTCAATCTCCTTCCAACCCTTCATACTCTTCTCAATCAAAACTTGTGGACTAGTGGCGAAAGCCTTATTGCAGAGCGCAGTAAGGGTTTCTTCGTCATCAGCGAAACCTGATCCCAAACCACCGAGGGTGTACGCAGCTCTGGCAATGACAGGGTAACCGATTTGCTTTGCGGCAGTAAGGGCCTCTTCGAGATTATTTGCTGATGCAGAAGGAGCGCAATGTTCACCAATATCCTCCATAGCTCTGGCGAAGAGTTCACGGTCTTCAGTCATCTCGATGGTGTGCACTGGAGTACCCAAGACCTTGACACCAAGAGATTCAAATTCATCCTTAAGCTTGCAACCAACATTGAGGGCTGTCTGACCACCAAAAGTAACGTAAATACCGTCAGGTCTCTCATACTTGATGATCTTGCGCACACTCTCGGGGTTAACTGGAAGGAAGTAGACTTTATCGGCGAGGCCAGATGTTTGAATGGTGGCAATGTTTGGATTGACAAGAACAGTGTAAATTCCCTCCTGTTTGAGAGCCTTGATTGCTTGACTACCAGAGTAATCGAATTCACCAGCTTGACCAATTGACAAACCACCAGAGCCAAGGACAAGGACCTTCTTGACATCAACGCGTGGGTGCTTGGCGGCATTTTCGGCGAGAGTACCACCTGGCAGGGTAATCTGCTTAGCGACACCAGTCTGGGCAAAGTCGACGACAGAGTTGATAAAGACGTCGAACAAGAACTCAGTGTCGCGAGGACCAGGAGTGGATTCTGGATGGAATTGGACAGAGAAGACTGGCTTGTCTTCCATATAAGTACCCTCGTTTGAGCCATCGTTTGCATTAACGAAGAGCTCCTTAACGCCGCCTGGGAGAGACTCGGCATCGACAGCGTAACCATGGTTTTGTGAGGTGATGTAACATCTTCCTGATTGCATGTCCGTGCAAGGAATGTTAGCACCGCGGTTACCATACTTCATCTTCTTGGTTGTTGCGCCTGCAGCAAGGGAGAGAAGCTGATGACCAAGACAGATACCAAAGATAGGTGTTTTCACGTCCTCAATAGCCCTGCTAAGTCTGTTGATAACAGGGGTAACGGTAGCAGGATCACCTGGACCGTTGGAGATGAATAAACCATCATAAGGCTCTTTCTCACTCAAGAAGTCGTAATCCCAAGGCACAAGTTTGACTTCAACGCCGCGGTTGTTGAAGCAGCGAATTTGGTTGTACTTGATACCTACATCGACGGTAAGAATTCTGATAGTGCGGTTCTCTTTTGGATGTTTAAGGGGCGTAGTGGTGGGTTTGAAGGTAAGTGGAGAAGGTGAAGAAACCTCAGCGACGAGGTTAGTGTTCCCATACTCAGCGAATGGAACGACCTGGAAGTCGTCCTTCCACGAGTCATTCGAAGCAGCTGAGCTAACGGAAACGGTAGAAACAGATCTAGATAAGCTGGCGTGTGGCTGGTTGATCAGCGGTCTTGCGCCTCTCTCGCCGGATTTTCTAGCGAGGATGCGACCAAGCATGACACCCTTCTCTCTGATCTTCTTTGTGAGATTTCTGGTGTCTACGCCGAAAATTGCAGGAATTCCCTGTTCCTGTAACCATTCGCCGAGGCTAGATTGAGCGAGGAAATGGGAGTAGTCAGGAGCGTATGTAGACACGACCAAACCAGCGACGTGGATCTTCCTCGACTCGAATTCTTCCGGGAGACTGAGAAGTTGGGAAGGATCAGCAGGGTTGTGCTCTGGGCGAGCAGGAACACCGTAGTTGCCGACGAGTGGGTAAGTGAGGACGAGAATTTGACCAGCGTATGAAGGATCAGTGAGAGACTCGGGATAACCCACCATACCTATATCGCCGTAAGAACACGAAAACGGCGATAAGAGGAAACAAACCAGTTTGGAAGACACATTCGCCTGAAATGCTCTTTCCTTTGGCTCCAAACGCATAGCCAAAGTTAACGCTGCCGTCTTCCAATTCGAGGGCGGTGTCGGCGTCGTTCTCCACGCCGGCTGGCTGCGCAGTGGCTGGGTGGAGAATGCCGTTGGTGTTTCTGCTCGGTGGCTGCTTAGCCAATGCGTGCGCAGCAGGTGGCTGCGATGGCGCTAATTCGAGTGGATTCGATGGTGGCGAGGGTGCACTAGCTCCAGACATTTTAATATTTTAGTTTTTACAGCCAAAGACCTTATGTATGTGAGGTCTGCTTCGTAGCAGAGGAAAAAGAACCGCGGAGGAAGATTCTCCCAAGTCACCAACTCCGAAAAAAATTATAGATTATATAAAATTCGTATATTTATTACTTATCACGTTGTACATTGACTATTCATTCATTTTTCTATACTTATTCCTTTTTTTTCTGTCCATTTCCGGCGAATGTTCGTTAGATTGTCTGCTTCGGCGAGAAGGGTGAAATCAACGCAGAAGAAACCTTCTTCTCAGCTCATAGCCAAGTTTCATCCTTTCTAGTATTGCTGGTGGCAGTTCATCACCTCCACTACCCATCAGCACTCCTTTGTTCTCTGATGCACGTCGAAGGAGGTACGGCAGCGCGTATTCCAGTTTCGCGAAGGGGAGGTATTTGAAAACCATAGGTGGTCCATCTGAAAGACTTTGTGTAAGCTCGCTCGACAGTTTGTCTGCCATTCCTGTGCTGTGTTAGGTGTATTCTAAGTAAGGCACGCTGCAATTCCACCCACCGTAAAGCTGGCCGAAAGCGACCTGATCTCTGATCCGTGGTGCAGGGTCGACTTTGCCGTCGGGTTTGCGCGTAGCTAGTCTATGGTGCAATAGCAATTCGAGCACCTTAAATGCACTGCTGTTGTTATGTGAGGCGAAGAGCACACCGAGTGATCCACCGGAAGACGACGCGAGCTGCTCGACGAGATATGCCGCCACATTATCGAAACATTTACTAGTTTCCTCCTTGCTCCCCCATACAGGGGACGGTCCCTCCCCATTGAATTTCTCCCATCTGCTGTTCTCGTGGTCGACATACGCACCCCGCACTATCTTGAATCCGAGACTATATCCTTTGTCGTGGGCACGCTGTAACGATGCCTTCACAAAGTCGTGCGAGCGTCGCAGAGAGCATTGGATGGTGTTGTATACCACAGGCTGGACTGTCTGTGAAATGTTCTCCTTCCTGTCATAGTTGTACTCCTCAGCCAGCAGTGTAAACATGACATCAATAGCTGGTTGGAATTTTGCGTACTCGGCATCAATGAGAATTTTCACACCGTTGTCGTACGCACAACCACATATACTTCTCATTCTTCCATAGAGGCCTGAGAGTTGTTTGAGGTCATTTTGAGAGATTGTCGTGCTGTTTGTCTGCGTCTTTCCTAGCACCAACTGCATGTCCTGGTCGGACACGGCATCGACGGGCATTTGCGCCGGCTTGAGGTTGTTCCAACCGTGCAACTCATTGAGAGCGAGAGTGGCTCTCTCGAGAACATAAGGATCTGGAATAAGGCCTGATGGTTTCACAGCGACATACGTCTGACCTGCTCTTTTGTCGTTGATGTCTCGAAGACGTCTCTCGAAAGCTCCACACGCTTCGACGCCCTCAATGTTCTTCTTCAAGCTGTCATCGGCCGCCTGGAGCATTGCGTCGTAGGACTGCGACGGACTAATATCCGAAGCCTCCGCGGAGTAGTTGAGGATGACGCCCTGAGTATGCTGTCTGAGGGAGTCAATGACGCGCGTATACTCTTCGGGCGATTCGCCGCCGGTGAACTGTGCGAAGAAGGTACGCTTTACGATGAGCTTTGTGATCTGCCAGATGCCGGGGATGTGTGACGCATAGTGAATAAGTTCCGGTGCAGCATCGATGAGGGCTGGCGAGGAACAAAGCGAGTAAACGAGCCAGCCACGGAAGAGCTGGGTCGGTGGCAAATGACGTAGATCGTTATCTGCGAGATTGTCTGCACTGTTGAAATTGAATCGCTGATGTGTGTAGAGTGCACCTGATAGCGCAGTGGCTGTGAGAAGCGTACGGCTGCCACGGAGAATCCTCATGCTGATGGATGTTGGGAATAAAGAAATATTTACGCCAGCCACTGAAACCAGCCTCGCTACTGCTATCTCAACCACCACTCGCCATCGCCTCAGAGACGAAGCCGTTGCCGCAATAGCCGAAATGATGAACAGAATATCTGAGGTGCTTCAAGACACAGACAAAGCACGTGCACTCGCTGGTAAATTACAGCGTTTGGCTTATGCGCGTCAGTCGAATGCTATCGCCAGGCAAGACCAAGAGAACGCGGCTCTAGAGGATACGCGTTTGGGCAAAATTGTAAATGAGATGCGTAAAGGCATGATTTTCGATTTGGACTGGATCAGAGAGCTAGAAGCTGATGAGTTTGCTGGTCTCCTCGACTCCGTCGATTTGAACGGGGACGATAGCACTACACACGACAAGCAACTGGAATTCCTCCTTTTTAAGAGAATACAGGAGCAGATCTACGGCGATCAAGCAGCCGATGATAATAGAAGTGACTCTATCGCTCAAGATCCAACGACTATCGAGTTACTCGCTTTAGACGACCTCAAACAGCGCAAACAGTCCTATCTACATGTCCTACCCACCCTCGACGATGAAATTGAGCAAGCGAAGCAGGAACTGGCTAGGGAGGATGAGCTATTCGTAGACAGCACCCAAATGAAAGAAGGCATCAACGATCGTATCATCGATATTTACTCCTCATCAGCTGAAGTGACTCCAGAGCAATATTTCAACGACTTGAGGCGTAAGATACGCTCAAAACACACTGAACACAACAACCTCTCACTTGAGCTAGAAGACACTGTCCTCGCTGCTGGTGTATACGATGATGAAGATGAGGCAGAGGATGAGAACCGCGAAGATGTCGAAGATATCAGACGCTACTTTATGCCAGCAGAGAATAGCGAGAATGGGAGAAAGAGAACGAAGCAAGAGGAGCGCGAGGAGTTTCTGCTCTTGTTATCAGTGAGTGATAAGTAGTGCATAGCGAGCGCATGGTAGCGTACCTCGTGGTCCGTGCACTCATGCACCCGTTCCTAGTATCGGTAGATATCGGTTAACTGCTTATCTCAGGACCTACTACAAGCCATGGATGAAACACCGGTAGACCCGTACATCAACGTATCTGAATACTACGAGGGCGTCAGAATTAAGATTGTAGAGAGCGGGATTGCAGTTGAGCACCCCACTGACTCGGCCAGACTGCGCCTGCATGACTTCCGTGAGTGGGGCACCAGATATTTTGGGGTACAGCTAACAAAACCAAGACAAAACATTCGACGATGGCTCTGATGGGGAGGAAGGATATGAAGAGGAAGATGAAGATGCACGTCGAGAACTTCTCGATTACTATGGCGGAGAGGGAGACGATTTAAGTGAGGCTGGGGAGATTGGTGAGGATGAAATGGCCATATAGACTGGCAAGATATGGTAACTAGGTGAACATCTCAAATACCCTGAAAATATTTGTAAATTAATATGTACCAGTTGAGCCCCTGAAAACGTCGAATAGCAAGTAACGCGTCAGCGAGTAGAGGACAAAAGGTACTTTAAATGAATTTTACTACAGATAGGATGTTTCATACTTGTCTTTCCTTTCGACACATGCCAAATCGTCTCAACCCGTTCGCCGTGTACCTTGAACTTTAAAAAGGCTTATATAAGTTGAGGCATTTTAGAGTGAGGCATTTAATCAACATCAAATGATAAAGGGTTCTAGTTGAACTACGACGGAGCAACAAAAGTGCGACAATACACGGAAGCACATGCAGCCATTGTGAGGAGTGATCAGAGCAGAAACCCAGCGATCAAGGCTAACGGTTACACTATAGATACCCACTGTCGACGTTAGAAGACTGTTCAAAGACAGTGACGTACATGTAAAGCTCTGTTGGGCTTTTCGATAACGAGTTGGCGTCAGAGTATTTGTGGGCGGAGAGCGATCGTGAAAGGCGCGGTACATTGTGTGCTGCTTCATCACCCACCACCCAACAAAAAGCCTCTAGAAAAGCCAACAGACTGCCAGTTGCGTGTCTATTCTGCAGGAGACGCAAGATAAAGTGCGACGGACAGAAATCGTGCAAGCACTGCTCTAAGAAGGGCATCGAGTGTATCTACCCGACAATTCCCCGTTCCAGACGCCGCTCATCGAAGCAGCTTCAGCTGGATTTGCAGCAAGCAGACATGCTCGATAGCAAAATTAGAGAGACAATTGGAAATATTTCAGGGGATTGCTCGGATAGCAGTAGCAGCAGGAGCGCTATTGTGCAGATGAAGTACATGCAGCAAATGAGCTCAATCAAGGCTAGCACACTCTTTTAGCCTGCTAAACTTAACGAAACGCGACGATTAATTTATAAATTGTACATTACTCATTACGTCATACCTATATTTACAACGCTCATGTCTGAATTGACTTCAGTGGATTATTTTGCGTATGCAGTGGCTACTTGGTCTACGGGCACAGCCGTTTCGCTTGTTGGATTCCCCAGGCTTATTACTACGCTGCTACTGCCATATGAGAAGCACAGTAACGGCGAAGTACTCCCGAAAACTGAATTGAATGGCTTCGAGAAGTTCCTGGCAACGCAATCAAGTATTTCATTGCTAGCTGCTGCCTACTTACTGCTTCAATTGACTGGCTCTCTTTCTTCATCGCCTATCAGACAGCCATCGCCCTATAGAATTCCAAGCGTAGGATTCGCAACGTTAGCACTCCTTTTATCCTCAGCACTTAGCTTCTACGCCGACAACATCGGCAACCTTGGCAAAGTACACTGCCTGCCAACAGCCCTGCTCAGCTTATGGGGCGTGTCTATCGTGGGTGCGAGTCGTCCCACAACCAGCACTGACAATCAAGCAGATGATATTCGGAGAAGACTTCTCAACTAAGCGCTCTAGCTTCCCATTCAAGAACACTGAAGCTAAGAAGAAGTAGATTTGATCATTTAAATTATTCTTTGTATGACAACATTCACCGACCACACCCACATCGATGCTGCAACATACAGACGCCTCAGACCGCGGGAGTATCTAAACAGGTATTTGGACTCCAATGTGCGCATAGATGGTAGATCATTGCTCGACTTCCGAAGCACAAGCATCAACCAAGGTTGGTTGGGTTGCTGTGTCTCCAATACCTTCCTCACATTCCCCACACAGGCTCAATTGAAACCGCAGACGGCAGCGCTGTTGTACGCCTCGGCAACACTACAATGGTGGCCGGTATAAAGCTCAAAACTGCTCTGCCAGATCCAAGTCGCGAGGCGGGCTACATAGTCCCCAATGTTGATCTTAATCCTGTCTCCAATGCTAAATTCAAAAGCGGTCCTCCTTCGGACCAGGCGCAGGTGCTCAGCAGCCGTCTCAACGATCTTCTTCTATCAGCCAACATCGTAAATCACTCTCAACTCGTTATAGAACCACGTAAAGCTGTTTGGGTGGTCTATGTCGATGTTACGTGTATAAATTACGACGGAAACGCTCTCGATGCTGCTATGATTGCTATCGTTGCAGCGTTGAAGAATACTCAGCTGCCTGAAGCTAATTATGACTACGATCATGAAAAGGTAGTAGCTAATAAGCAGCACTACGCCCCTCTTTCCCTCAACAAGGTCGTTGTCCCCTCCTCATTTGGCTGGTTCGATGGCAAGCTACTCGCTGACCTCACCGACTTTGAACAGTCTTTATGCGCAGCACAGATCACTGTCGTCGTCAATCCAGACGGTTCACTAGCACATCTCTCCACACAAGGACTCAGTCTTGGTCACACCATAGAGGACAGTGTCAACATCACCAATTCTGCTATCTCAGCAGCCCAACACCGCTACGCCAGCGTATCAAAACTAATAATTTAGATATACATTGCAGTAATGATATTTTTTCACTAGCTAGCTTGCCTCGGCCTTCACTCGTGTTTTTAGGGGTGTGTTGGTTGTGCTAGTAGCACCCGCCTTCTTATGCTCATTCAACAGCAACATGAGATTCCCACGTGTCTCATCGAGCCACTCGCCGTTATTAACGCACAGTACTTTCATTTTGGGGTGGTATGTGAGGTTAGGCAGGAGCTTCGGCGTGATGAGGAAGTACTGACTCGAGAAGTCTTGGCAAGTGACCTGCACCATTTGGTTGTGCACCAGCCTCTCCGCTCTGCTATCCATACCCTGATTGATTTCATCCACCAGACTGAACGGCGACTTGGACAACTCTGTGAGAGACATGAGGTAGAGTATCGTAGACAGCGACCTCTCTCCACCGCTCTGACGCTGGTGTGTGAGCAGCTCAAGTGACTCGCTCTCTCTAAACTTGACGTAGATCTCTATCGCCCACTGCGCATAGTCGGTGTGTCGGTATAGCTTCACTTCTCCAGCACACCCAAAACGCTCGAAAGCCCTACCGAAGCGGTCACTCACTGCGGTAATCAGCTTGAGAAGTGTAGGTTCCCATTGCGACTATGACCGGTTAGTGTGTGTGATCATTTTCAAGAACCTACCCACCCTGACTCCATCTATGTATGCCTTCTTCCTGTCGTAATCCTCCTGCTTATTTTCAATGTCCTTGGTTTGTGTCTCGATCATACGCTCGCGCTCCTCGTACATCTCCACCACACTCGAGCTGATATTCGAGTTCATCTCCAAATTGCTCTTCTCCACCGCCAACGCATCTTCAAGCTCTTCCAAACTCTGTTCGTCACCCGTTTGGCTCACTCGCTCTCTCAACTTGATAAAATCATCACGCAGCTCTTCGCTGCTCTGTGCCAGTTGCTGCTGAGCCGCTTTGAGGTACTGCGTGGAATCCCCCTTGATTCGTTTATACAAGTCGTCCGCCTTGTTCAGCTCGCGCGATGCATCGCTCAGCCTGACGTTGTACTCATTCATGTGTGCATTCAGACTGCGTTTGTTCGCGTCGTATTGTATCTCCGATAACACTAGCAACTCACTCTCGTCTATTATCTCTGATATATCCCCCACCAGTTCAGTATATGCCTCCACTTCTCCCGCTCTCTGTCTTGTTATTTTGCATATTAGTCTCTTCAACTTCTCCTTCTCGAGGTGTGAGCTGGGTTGGGATTCCAGTTGGTAGAGATGCTTCTTGTTACTGGTCAGAGTCGCCTGAGCTTTGAAATACTCCTGCTGCGCTCTCTGAATCTTTCTCTTCTTTTCATCAAAAGCTGCTATCTCCTGCTTGTATGTACTCTCCTGCGTTCTCATCTCCCTCTCTTTGGGTATCATCTCATTTATCCTCCCCTCTAGCTCGGCTGACTTGCTCCTGCAATCCTCGATGCGCATCTCCAGCCCGTGCCGCTCTTCGTTGTCTGTGGACGCATCATTGAAGACGCGTGACGGCCGTATGAATGTCGTTGTCGTTGTCGCCGCTTGTCGCCCATATCTCGACCAGCTGTATGTGTGCGATTCGGTGCCGATCAAGTATCTCCTCAACTCTTTGCTCTTGAATGCACGCGACTCTTCAATCGCCTTCATGTTGATCTTGTCAGATGTCTTCGCTATAGGTATCTTGTGCAGAAAGCACACCTTCTTGAGGTAGTTGAGAATAAAGTCTGGCGCATCGACGAAATCAATAGCAAAACCATCGAATCCGAGCTCCTGTATCTCTTCACGTGACATATACTGCTCCGTCTCTCTTGCATTGAAAACTGGCTGCACTATATTCACTCTAAAGTGGTACTTGTCTATAATCTGCTTGGTGGCGATATCGTAGTCCTCCTGGCTCTGACAAAGGATAGTCTTCATGACGTTATAGTTTATCAGAGACTCGATAGCCGAGGCGTACGACTGATCCTTAACTCTGACCTCCAAAAAAGCCGGATCATACACTCTGCTACCAAACTTATCCTGATTCTTGCCAATAATATCGACAGTCCTAGCTGTGGTTTCATCAAACGTTTTAAACTTCTCAAAACGACGGTGCCTAACGTTATCCATGTTGTTTAAGGTCTTCTGGTAGCCCTGTATGTCATGGAGGAGGTCTCGCTGCTCGGATGCCACATCCCGTCTGACATCCTGGAACTGCTTGCCGTCTTGGTGGAGCTGAGCAATTCTCCGCTTGATGTTGTTAATTTCGTCGTCGAGCTCAGCCAATCCTTCATCACTGGGTTTGTTCGCGACTGTGTGCTCGAGCTCGACTATCTGCAACTTAATCTTTTCTATCTGCTGAACGCGACGCAGGTCTGCACGCTCAGAGTCGTCGATTTTAGTCGTGGCGTCTTCGGTATGTTTGACCAACTGCTCCAATGCTTTATTCACCTCTTTCAGCTGGTGACGTTTTTCTTCAATCAGTCCTTCCTTCTCCTTGCGCCTGCTCTCACTAGCTTCAATCATAACATCGTACTCTGCCATCTTCTTTTTGAGAGGAAGATTCTCTCTTTCAATCTTGATCACATTTTCATTCAACCGCTTACGATTCGCCTTGGCTTGGTCATATTGTGCTTTTGATTGTGAGTAGCGAGAAAATGGTATCATCAGATTAAGCAGATTAATCTGTGAGTGTTTTAGTTTGTAGTTTGAGAACGGTAGGTCAATTCACCACCCATCAAACTCACCTTTTTCTCGATCGCTTTACGCGTTTTATAGCGTTCAATTTCGCGTTCCTGAGATCTATTCAGTTGTTGCAAGTCGTTGCGATCGTTGATGATGCTGTTCAGCGTGGCTTCCTGGGTGGAGAGGTCTTTGCCACTAGCGATGAGGTCATTATGCCATTGGGTGAGATCGCCAATACCCGTCCCTTCAGCTACCTTCTGCGTCTCGAGGAGCAAGGTAGATGGTGACATCTGCGCAAACTGCGACACTTTATCTTGCGGTAGAAAGGAACATAGGTTACCTATCTGTATACCGTAGCTGTGGACAATATCCTTGATTACATCGAGCTTGCTGGGCTCGCCATCAACTTCGTATTTGGATTGCTTGTCTGTGGAGTTGATACTACGTCTGATTACGTGGTTGCGTTTGCTGTTACGTGACTTGAGGTGAATTTCTATATAGCCCTGTGTCTTGTCCTGTTTAACAAACGCGTTGACGTCACTAGATCGACCGAGAATCTGTTATCGTGTGAGTGGATGGATGGGGGGGGACAAACATAACACACCTTCGGACCAGCACCTAAACCAAGTGCTATTCCACAAACTATAGTAGATTTACCGGTACCATTTGGACCAATGATCATATTGAGATAAGGCCCAGGACAGAAATCGACATGATCGTAAGTGAGGAAGTTGTGCAGTACTACGCGCACGATAGACCCTGGGATAAAGTTGTCGCTGTCTCTATTTCGTTGTTGGGGTTGGAGTGCTTCAGCGACGTCTTCTTGGTTCATAAGTGGGTTGTTAAACGGTGATTCTTGGTCGCTGTTGTTTTCATCGTCATTGTCATTGTCGTCGTCGTTGTCATCATTATCGCCTTCCACGCTATTCACCTCCTCATTGATAAGCCTCGATGGAGATGGCTTGCGATCGTCGTCGTCGTCGTCGTCAGAGTCGTGCAGCTGTTGCTGCTTCTTGGGCGACGCGCTTTCGTCCTCGTCAGACGACGGGACATGCCTCTTTAAGCTTGGCTTAGGCATGCGATGTTGGTGGTTGGGAAGAAGGAGGATAAGATTGAGAAATGGATTTATAAGTAGATTACAAGTCGTACAAGGCGTGTAGGGGTTGTGAGGGAAGGCATCTCCCTCTATCTCTCTCCAATTTCCTCCATCTCTGACGATCACGCGTATTCACCCGCGTCACGCCCATCGCACCTATAACTACTCCCACTTGGTTTCTGGGTTGAGAATAAACGAGTCGTAAAGCTGCCTGTTGAAGAGTGATAACTCAGTCTCGTTTTCTAATCAGGAGTCTGATCAGCAAAGCCTCAAGTTCGAATCCGGGACGTACCAATATGTTGACCATCAATTTCAATTTCAGATAAGAATTTATTCCAGTCGTCAATAATCCAATGAGGATTATCGATGTTTATAATGAGATTAGTTGTTTTGTGGCCGTGTGCTTGAGTGTACAATTTGAGGCAGTCAAACTGAGTTGATCTGAATTGCTTGTATTTTGGCTGTGTGGCTATCTCGTGCTTACACAGCTCAACAAGTTGATTAACCGTTGTCGCTGTCAAATCCACTCCCCTTAGGATAAGATTCTTTGTTGTCCTAAATTCGAAACTCTTAATGAGCCTAATTGTGAGCGTGGCAGAGGTTTTTGGGTTTGTAAGGTTAGTGGTGGACATTTGCTGAGTTTGGAGGATATTCTCTGTGATTCTCTACTAAGAAGCAATGATATCGATCGATTTAATTCGACACGGTGAGACTGAGTTTAATATTTCCGGTAGAGTGCAAGGTCAGCTGGATATTCCACTCAATCAGCCTGGAAGGTTCCAGTGCGCTCTATTAGCCAATAGATACAAAGATATCCCCATAGACTCTATTTACACCAGCGACTTGAGCAGAACGCACGAAACAGCGACTATTCTAGCCGCTCACCATCCAAACGTAACGATCACGTCGGATCCACGCCTCAGGGAGAGGTGTTTCGGTCCTTATCAAGGCCAATCACTCACCAGGGAACAGCGCCACTCTCATTTAAAAGGCGTTGAGTCGTTGGAATCCATGTACGCGCGTTGCTTGCAGTTTTACAATGACGTTCTCCTTCCTTTGATTTCCAGTAGTAGCGGTGGTACAAACGGTGACAAGAGAATTGTAATCGTTAGTCACGGTGCTCTACTCTCCGTGCTTATAAGACAGGTGCTGCTAAATAAGTACAAGTACTCGCTGGCACCTAATGTCAATCCAGCTAGTCTCATCAACACTTCAGTCACTCGAGCAGTCGTGAATTCAAACCACAAAGGTACTCTAGTAAGCTGGTCAGATGATTCTCACCTGCAGACTCACGGTAAGGTTGAAAACGCCGATGAAATATGCTTATAAAAACATTGATCGTGAAAATCGTGAAGAATTTCACAAGTACCACGATTACCCCAATACACAAACTACTTTCCTAAAATTTCCTTGGATTTCTCAAATGAACCCAAGTACACACCAGCTCCGGCAGCGGCCCAGGTAGATCTTAGGAGGCAACCTCTAAACAAACCCCTGACACCTTCATTTGCCATAACGCTCTTGCTCGTACTCCACACACCACCATTCTGTTCATTTTGGATCATTATCCGCGTCTTGATTACGTCGATTGGGTTTGTGGCGATGGATGCTATAGTTGCAGCAGCAGAAGCAGCCAAAAAAGCAGATTTTGCGCGTGGCAAGTTCCTTTCACCGAGCATGGCTCTCAAATGCTCATATATCGGCCATTGGACGGTGACTATCGGTGTGTTCCTGAGCACAAGTGCGCGATAACCAGGGAATAGAGACTTAAGGTTATCGCGTCTTAGTAGACGCTTAGTGAGTGTTTTTGTATCACCGCCAACCTGTGCATTCTGTTTAATAAGCTCAGCAGGCGCGAGTACGGCACAGCTAGCGCATTCAGCCAAATTTGAAGCCAGAATTTGAGTGGCTGGGGATGATAGGTTGGTGCGAGTGTTAAATACACCCGTCATGTGCTCATACGTGGTGAAGAAAACGGCAGCAGAGGGAATAGTGGCGAGTATCACCGGCCCTACACCAGCGTAAAGATGAGATTTTGAGACGGAGAAAAGAGTGGCCGAGGATGTGCTCTGTATTCTAACCTTGAGAGTATCCATGGGGTCTGCTGGGTGCTTAGAATATAATCCTATGACGTCATATAAAACACACAGACGAGTAAATCAACCGTGAGAGCTGCGAGGCTACCGGCCTAAATATATTAGCCATGTGGATTATATAGCCCACTCGCCCAGCTCACCGCCGCAATATTTAAATCCATTTTGAATTTTCACCTTCGCAGTCCCGGCGAGAGGCACACGCTGCCTCTTGCACGCAGATGCTCAAGACCGCCAGAAGAAATCTCAGAATTTCAGCTGGTAGAATATTATTTAGAAACTTACATTCATCTATACGTACAATGGTTGGTCAGAAAATTGATGGCACTGCGATTGCAAAGTGAGTCACCAGAAGCACCACCAGCATATCGAATAACCCCGTTAACCCCACTCGCTTAGGAAACTCCGCGGAGATCTCGCTACTCAGACAAAAACACTCCCCTTTAACCCGCACCTCGTAATCATTCAGCACGGCGCTCGCCCTGATTCAAACAGCTACATTCGCATGAAGAGACTGGCTGCAGAAGAGGCTGGCTTCAAATTCACCCACATTCAAATCCCTGACTCTGATGGCGTCGATAAGGTCCTCGAGCACGTTCGTCGCTGTAACCAGGATGACGGCGTTCATGGTCTTCTCGTTCAGCTCCCACTCGCTAATGGCGGCAAAGACGGCGAAAGAAGCGTCGTAGAAACCATCTCACATGATAAGGACGTCGATGGCTTTCACCCACTCACCGCAGGTGCTCTCTCTTCGCGCCTCGCTGACCCTCTTTTCGCTCCTTGCACTCCCGCTGGTGTAATCAAGCTGCTTGAAGAATCTGGTGTTGAAATCGCTGGCAAATTCGCTGTCGTTCTTGGCCGCTCCGATATCGTCGGTACTCCTGCTATGAACCTCCTCCGCCGCAAAGATGCGACCGTCGTCCAGGTACACTCCAAGACAAAGAATATCCCCGAATTAGTCAAGCAGGCTGATATCGTCGTTGCTGCTATTGGTCAGCCTGAGTTCGTCAAAGGCGAGTGGATCAAGGAAGGCGCCGTTGTCATTGACGTCGGTGCCAATTTTGTCCCAGATGCTACCAAAAAGAGCGGTCAGCGCATGCTCGGTGATGTGGAATATAGCAAGGCCATTGAAAATGCTGCTCACATCACTCCCGTTCCTGGTGGTGTTGGCCCTATGACCGTTGCTATGCTCATGGTAAACACCTTTAGAGCTGCAGAGCGTCAGGCCAAACTCAGAGGTGGCAGAGGTCGTGGCGTTGTCACTCCTCTTCCTATCCACCCACTCGAACAAGTTCCATCTGATATTGAAATCGCTATGGCTCAGACACCCAAACCTGTTTCATCACTCGCACAAGAGATTGGCGTATTAGATGAAGAATTGGAGCTCTACGGCCAATCTAAAGCTAAGGTGGAGTTGAGCATTCTCGACCGTCTCCAGCACCGCAAAGATGGTAAATACGTCGTCGTCGCAGGTATCACTCCTACTCCGCTCGGTGAAGGTAAATCTACTACTACCGTCGGTTTAGCACAAGCCCTTGGCGCTAGACTTGGCAGAAGCACTTTTGCATGCGTTCGCCAACCTTCACAGGGCCCTACATTTGGTATTAAGGGTGGTGCAGCTGGTGGTGGTTACTCACAAATCATTCCAATGGATGAATTTAATCTGCACTTGACTGGTGACATTCACGCCATCTCCGCAGCTAACAACCTCCTCGCTGCCGCTATTGACGCAAGAATGTTCCATGAATCCACTCAGTCCGCCAAAGCACTTTATAATCGTCTCACTCCGGCTAAGAAGGGTGTCAGATCTTTCTCCCCAGTTATGATCAAGAGGCTGCAAAAACTCGGTATTGACAAGACAAGTCCGAGTGACTTGAACGAGGAGGAGGTTGCCAAGTTTGCCAAACTCGACATTGATCCTGAGACAATCACCTGGCACAGAGTTACGGACACCAACGACAGGTATTTGCGCAAGATTACCGTGGGACAAGCTCCAACTGAGAAAGGTATTTCACGTGAGACAGGTTTCGATATCTCAGTTGCTTCTGAGTGTATGGCTGTGCTCGCACTTGCCAACGATCTCCCCGATATGCGCAGAAGATTGGGTGATATGGTTGTAGCCTCTTCGAAATCAGGCGAACCGATCACTGCGGATGACATTGGTATTGGTGGTGCACTCACTGTGCTCATGAAGGACACTATCAAGCCAAACCTCATGCAAACTTTGGAGGGTGAGTGGGGAGTGCGGAATGATTTCGAATGTATATGCTAACTAACCTTAGGAACTCCTGTGTTTGTACACGCTGGCCCATTTGCCAACATTGCTCACGGTAACTCATCCATCCTCGCCGACCGCGTTGCTTTGAAGCTCGCAGGCACAGATGAGGGCGAGCCATCTTCATCTGGTGGATATGTAATCACCGAGGCTGGTTTCGGTGCTGACATAGGTATGGAGAAGTTCTTCAACATCAAATGTCGCGTTTCTGGATTAGTGCCAGATGCAGTTGTGCTTGTTGCTACCGTGCGCGCTCTTAAGATGCACGGTGGTGGACCGGAAGTGTCACCTGGAAAGCCACTCGACGACATATATACGCAGGAGAACCTCGACACGCTAGCTGAAGGATGTAAAAACCTTGGCAAGCATATTGAGAACGGCCGCAAGTATGGCGTTAAGGTGATTGTAGCGGTCAATCAATTCACCACGGATACACCAGCTGAGCTTGAGTTGGTGAAAAAGTTGTCGTATGAAGCAGGTGCTCACGCTGCCGTTGCATCTAACCACTGGGCATTGGGTGGTGAAGGTGCCATCGATCTCGCCCAATCACTCATCGACACTTGCGAACCAAAGGGCTCAGATGGTGAGGTTCTTCCTGCGCAATCAAACGACGACTTCAAGCTGCTCTACGATGACAATTTGACTATGGAGGACAAGATCTTGACCATCGTAAGGGAAATGTACGGCGGTGAAGCTATTGAATTGTCTGAATTGGCTAAATCTCAAGTGGAGACTTATGTGAAGCAAGGATATGGAAACCTGCCAGTGTGTATGGCCAAGTCTCACCTTTCACTCTCGCACGATCCTAAGCTGAAGGGTGTACCAAGTGGATTCACTGTGCCAATTCGCTCAATTAAGCTCAGTGCGGGTGCAGGATTCGTGTATGCTCTTTGCGGAGAGATGCAGACTATGCCGGGACTGTCAACTCGACCAGGATACTACGATATCGATTTGGATATGTCTGGAGAGAAGCCACGCGTCGTTGGATTATTCTGATTGCAGTGCACAAACTCACTTGTACTTGTTGAAAAAGCTTAAAGATTTCTGAAATATTTTGTAAAAACTAGAAGATGGATTTCTTACTCGTCTAATGTCATCATCGTACGATAATCGCTGCGACTTGGTTCGAGAGAATGATTACGTGCACATCAGACTACCATCGCAGCAGGAGCGTATTGTAAGGCTTACAAAGAACGGGTGTGTCTGGCTGTAACCACGGTGCACACACTCTAAATACACGCAACCAGCACGGCAAATTTCGGCAAATTCGGAAAAGTACCCTTCAGTGAGCTTATCGGAAAGCCATACGGCCTCAGTTTCGAGATTGTCGATAAGGACGGCAGCTCCACGCTGAGGAAAATGTCTCCGCGGGCGATTGAGGAAATTGGTGGGTGAATTTGAGTCATTTGAGAATTTAATTCATCAGGGCATTTCAGAGGACTACGAGTCAACGAATCAGTTTATTGAAGACGACAGTACGGCAATCACTCTCCTAGGCGAGGCTGAGATTGAAGCGCTGAAAAACGGCGGCGTTGAGGGCAGAGTGAGTTAGGCGTGACTGGAGTGAGTTCACTCAACTAACCCGCTCGCAGCACATTATCGACCAACAAATCGCTGCTCACGGCCAATTCGATCAGAAAACCGCCTATAGCAAGGACAAGTACCTCAAAAAGAAAGAAGCAAAGTTCCTCAAGTTTATCACACTCATCCCACCCACCACGTTTAACGTCTGCGAGTATCACTTTACTAAGAATTCACAGCGTATTCGCGATCTGAGAGTGGACAGTCTATCGCAAATGCTCACACTCGCCAATGTTCAGCAGGGTGGGAGATATATTGTCATCGACGATACTTCCGGTCTTCTCACTGGCGCCATTCTCGAAAGACTTGCAGGTGAAGGTAGTGTGCTGATCATACACGACGCCGACTCACCACCCAACCTCGATATTCTCGACTCGATGAACTTCCCTGAACAGAGCGTGAAAGAGTGTGTCAGGTATTTGAATTGGGTATCGATCGACGACGACTTTGAAATGCCTCCGCTTAAACTTGAAGCTAAAGAGGGCGGCGATAACTGGAGATCGCACCACGAGAGAGATAAAATCATGAAGCGCAAAGAGCAATTTACTGCGCTTGATAATCTCAGAAAGGAGTTTTTCGATGGTGGTTTTGACGGGTGAGATAGGGTGATTGATGTTTGGGGTGTTTCCTTCTCACATTCTTGCAGATTGATAAGCGCCTCGCAATATGAACCTCTGAGTATTATACAGAGACTGTACACTCACCTCAGCGGGTCGGCTCCCATAGTGTTACATCATCCACACTTGGCGGTACGTTCATTATACACTGATCACACCACTAATAATCTTAGGTTCTCACAGATGCGCACATGCGTCTACGCAATGACGCTAATTTCTTGGCACCGGTAATCTCTGAAAGTTGGCTGAGACAGTATCAGGTGTGTTGTTATAAACAGCACACAACCCAACTCACATGCGGCGCAGGTTCTGCCTGGTAGAACGCATCCAAATATGCAAATGCCAGCCACCGGTGGTTACTTGTTACACACGACGAAAGTGTCAGTATGGCTATTTTTCGTCGAATCTACATAATTGACACAATCTGCAGCTTCGATGATCCCAATGCCCATTCTATCAAGGCATTCAAGCGTCGCAAGGCGGAGCGGAGCTAGTGTGGATGCAGATGTAATCGGTGATCGTAGATGGTACAAACCCGCGCGATAAAATATTCATACATTGCCATACTCAAGTTGTAATGCACTTTATTTATTTATAGACACGTTCAATGCGCTTGCGCGTGATGCATTACCGAAAAGTCCCGTTAAACGCGTTCAGTTCGCATATTCGACGCGTCCTTTCCTAAAACAGTGTGGTATGAAGAGCATTCCGGATCTTTTTTTAGCATGATATTCATTCAAATAGAGTAAATTAATAAAACGCGTTCTTTTAGCAAACCACTAACATCAACTTAAGCATGGTTATATCAAAAGTCTTGGTTTCCGCGGCATTAGCTGTGTGTACACTCGCAGTACCTTTGGAGCGCAGAATGTACAGCTCTAAGCATGCGTATGACTGGGATCACGATGCCGTAGGCGGGAGAGCACGCGACGCCCTCCTCTCCACTCAGCGCGCCAGGTTAGTTTTTTTTTTCACCCTCCTCAACTCAGACCTGACGTCACCAGCTGGGAACAAGGCACGGCTGCAGAAGCGCTCCTAGAGTTTGACTACGACAGACTAAGCGTATTTAATCCAAACTACCTCAACGAGATCCAAGGCTCGGCCGAGGCACTCAAGTGGGATGGCAAGCGCCAATTTTCATTCTCGGAAGAAATTCCCGTACACGCGCTCTCGATAGCCTGGGATGCCGTCAACAGACAGCACGAAGATGGCAGACTTGGTGTGGAGTTAGGTGAGGTAGTTCTTTTGTTTGTGAAACACCACTCACGAAGGCTATTTAGGTGGACCAGTTGACGGCAGTGCTAGTGACCCAGCATCTATGGGCCCTGCTGTATATCTCGCTTCGAAGATCTGGCCAAAGGTTGAAGAGAGAGAGAGACTCGGCGACGCCGCAGCAAAGCAGCTCAGCTACACCCTAAACACCGCTCCACGCTCAGAAACAGGAGCAATATCTCACAGGACTGAAAAGATTGCATACTGGGTAGGTTCTCTTGCGTGTTTCACATGGGTGTCTTGCTTATACTAACATCCTCAGTCTGACTCAGTTTATATGGCACCACCACTTATTGCCTATGCTGGTGCGCTCGAGCACGACAAACATATGCTCCACGAGGCCTTCGCGCAGATCAAAGCGTACAGAGAGGCACTCTTCTTGAAGGACGTAGGCTTGTACGGTCATATCTTCGACGCCACCAACAAGTCGTGGGAAGATGCCGGCGCGTGGTCGACTGGCAACGGCTGGATCGCGGGTGGCATGTCTAGAGTACTCGCTACAATCAAGCACTCAGGCGTCGAGGGTCTGGATTGGGAAGCACACCACCTCATTATTTGGCTCAAAGAACTCTTGCAGAACGCGTACAAGGTGCAGAAAAACAGTGGCCTCCTGCCTAACTACCTTGACAAGCCGGAGGACTTTGAGGAAGTCGCCGGCACGGCCGCTATCACCGCCGCCGCATACAGACTGGGTGCTATTGCTTACGGTGCCATCGAGGACGTGCTGCCGCAGATGGAAAAGGCTTTCGAGGCGTGCCTCTCTAGAGTTGATGTCATGGGTAACGTACAGCCTACCGTTGACGCACTCGACTGGTCTGCGAAAGGCGTCTCTAGCCCTGAATCTGCTGCTTTCATCCTTGAGCTTCTTGCCGCCAAGGAGGCGTTTTAAGCCCACTTAGCTGACATCTTATTGATATTGATAGAATACTCTTGCCATGCGATTATCATGTTTTATTATTGTAAAATTCCTTCATTTGTAACCTCAATTTTTTTATTTGACATGCACCACTTTTCAATGCATAATGTCATTATCCCTGATACGAAATTTTACGACATAGATAGGTAGGCTTCTAAGTCATGTGCGATGAGCTTTACCTGACCAGGAATATTTTCACCATACATCACAGCCACTGGACTACGCATACACCTGCTTTTAAAGCAAGCTATCATTTAGAAAAGTCGTTGAACCTTTAAGTGCGATTGATGTGTCTAAATCCTCTTCGGGAAGTAGATCCTTGAAGAATCCGGCTTACATGAATACCTAGAAACCCAAATATATCAGGTATGTGCATGAATATAATGACATAAATTGGCCTAGAGTGACCTAATCTATGTTTAAATCCCAACACCTCTTCTCATCATCCCTTCTCGCTGACATCGCCCACAGACCTAACCAAAATCACATTCATAAATTGAAAGGATTTAAATTGAAGGGATTTGATCAGTGTGAAGAAGTTAATAAGGTTGCGCTACATGAATGATCAAATAAAGCTATTTATATATCGACTTTCGCCCACGAATACCCGAATAATCATTATCAATTTAAAATCAATGAACTTAACGCTCTCAAGTGCTTTGGGATTAAAAGGCTAGCTTTTAAGGTGCAAAAATAGCAGTTTGCTATGGCTTTTGCAAAGAGCTCAGTGGATTGATTCATCTAATTCAAAATTTAAGCAGCATCGTATCGGGAAGCTGAATTGTCGGTAACGCTTTCGCCTCGCCAAGAATCATGTTCCTTGCGAGGTTGAGACACTTATAAATAGGAATCTATGAATAGGATTCTTGGGGGATTTTTATTAGATCGATCAAATTATCGATCAAATTATCGATCAAATTATCAATCAAACAATCAATCAAACAATCAAAAACGAATCATGATAAGAAGACTAAGTGTTGATTCTTCAAAAACAAACGTAAGAGCAGAAAAAGGATCGGTGCTCAAGGATGAGAATAGTTTGCAAGAGCCTGTCGAAGCCACGAGTGGTACTTACGCGACTCCATTCCTTTCTCTTGGTTCGAGATGCTTAATATCAGGGCTAGTCATTTTCATGGCTTTGTAGGTACGGATATTTAATTTTTGCATCGCTAAAGCATCACAAGTGGGCCAGAATATTCCGGATCCATTAATGGTTCGCTGAAGAGCACACTCAAGAGCAAGCTTGGCGCAAACAACAGTCAATTCGGCGTTATCTCTTCAGCTGCAGATCTCATCAACACTATCCTCCCAATATTCGGTGGTCTAATGGTAGACCACTTTGGTATATGTAGCAGTACTCTGGTTTGTATGTTCTTTATTTTGCTCGGAAACGTCGTTGATTCGATCGGCGCGACAAAGAACCACTACAACGCCTTTGTGGCAGGACGCATTGTATTTGGACTTGGACAGTCAGTGCTAGAGACCGCGCAGAGAAAGCTTTATTACCCGATGCCAAACAGAGGATTGGCACTAGTTTTTGCTCTAGATCTTGGCTTCGTGAGAATCTGCAATATTTTAGGCAAGGTCACCGCACTCCCCATCGCAAACGCTTCTTATTATGCCATGACTTATTGGACGTCTGTGATCTTTACTGGTCTTTCACTTTGCGCCAATATTGCTGTGGTTTTCTTGATGAAAAAAGTTCACAAAATTGATGAAAAGGTCGTATTCGACAAGAACATGCTCAAGATACACAAAGTATTCTTGGCGCTGCCATCTTCGTTCTTCTTGTTCGCAGTGTCTTGGATCTTCCAACCCTCAGTATTTTCCACCTTCAATAAAATCGTTGCGGACCTAGTGAAGGTGCATTACAACGTTTCCGCAGAGCAAGGTGGCTTTTACAGCGCATTGACGCAAGTAGTTCCAGTAGTCATGACACCGCTAGGTGGTGTATTCGTAGATCTATATGGTAGAAGACCGCAATTTGTACCAGTAGCTGCAGGTGTCTATATCGTCGTATTTGCGCTAATCGCCAAAACATCTGTCCATCCCATTATCCCCCTCATATTATCAAGTCTTGCGTTCTCGATATCCACAATTTCCCTGCTCGCATCGATTCCTCTGATAATACATAATCAAAAGCATCTAGCTTTAGCTTTAGGAATATGGAAGAGTTTCATCAACTGCGGCGATGTTATTATGAGCGTCGTTGTGGGGAGAGTTCAAGATATCACGCCGAACCAGGTGAGACTGTTGGAGCGTTCTGAGTTTATCTGACTAAAATTCGCAGTCGTACGTCAACGTAATTTGGATTTTCATGGGTGTAAAAGCATGGGCTGTAGTCCTTGGAGTGGTGTATATCATATGCGATAGGGCCTTCTTTATGAAGATATTTGATCGTAGTGTCAAGAACCGTCTCAAACTGGAATGTGAGCTGGGGTGCAGCATATTTCAAGCATCTAAGCTTAGCTGGGTAAGCAAGCCTTTAAACATCTTCATAACGGTGTTTTATTGCTTTTTCGTGGTAGCTGCGTGGACGACCTTCTTTTACTTTTATGAAAACTAGGTGAATAGAATTGTAACATTATATATTCAATTGACAGGCCTCGCTAGACTAAATTGATTTGGAAAATCTGATTGACGTTGGCCGTCGAAGACGTTACTCCGCTCAAATTCTAAAATATTCTAAAAAGAAGACAACAATTTAAAGATTAAGAGGTCTTTGCTTATTCAGTGTCACTTATATATCCAGTATCAGCCTCTAATCTTACTCCAGCTCCTTATCTTAAAGCTCTGATAAGCTTATCAACAGGAACACGAACAATTATCAGCGAATATTTCTCGTTTCTCTTGTCTACACGTAATGGGAAGTTTGAAACGAGCTACAACCAAGCTGACAAGTAGATCTGGGTGGTTTGGAGACAAAAGCTTCAACTACACGAATCTCTTTGCTCCTCAATTTCCCTACAACCTACCTAGACGACAGCGCAAGATGCTCAGACCCTCGCCCTTCTTTTCCCTCGATTCGAACCTTCCCATCGTACTTCTGCTTATCGCGGGACTACAACACGCGCTTGCTTGTCTTGCCGGTGGTGGGTTCCCGTTGATTATCTCTCCTAGCATGCTCATGGATTCAAGTAATCACCCCGCCAATGATAATCTCTCAAACCTTAAATTTTTCAAATGACTTACAATCTTACATGGTCTCAGCTTCTCTGATTTGCAGCGGCATACTATCTATCGTACAAATGCTACACACTAGAATACCATACACCAACAAGTACATCGGAACGGGAATAGTAACGATTGTTGGTGTATCCTTCAACACTATACCTGTCTTTACTTCGATGGCTGACCGAATGTATTCAAACGGAACATGTCCTAACAATACTGATGGCAGTAGAGCCGCGTGCCCTGAAGCTTACGGCTACTTCATCGGCACTTGTATGCTGGCTAGCTTGTTTGAGATAGGTGTCTCACTTTTGCCCGCTACGGTGATCAAGAAGGCTTGTCCACCGGTAGTATCAAGCACTGTAATAATTATGATTGCATGCCAGCTGCTACAAAGCTCGGGGTTTTCTAATTGGTCTGGTGGGGACTGTACAGAGAATTGTCCATCAGCTGATGCGCCCAGACCCTTACCATATGGAGCAATTGAATTTATCGGGCTTGGATTCCTCGCAGTCGTGACGATATTATTCGTGGAGATTTTTGGCTCCCCATTCATGAAGAGCGGTAGTCTAATAATAGCCTTAGCAGTTGGAAGCACCGTAGGCTGTGCGTGCAACTACTGTGTAAACAAAATCAGAGACTCACCAGCAATAACCTTCCTTTGGGTGCACACATTCAAGCTGAAAGTGGACCCGCCATCTATTCTACCGATTCTAGCAGTCTATCTCATTAATAGTGTTGAAGCACTGGGTGACATAACCGCAGCATCGGAAGCATCGCGTTTGTCGGTGGGAGGGTCAGAATTCGACGAGAGGATTCAAGGGGGTATACTTGCTGACGGTCTTGCCGGTATATTGGCCGGCGCTATGACTCAAGCTCCCATGTCCGTCTTTGCTCAAAATAATGGAATTATCGCCCTAACCAGGGTGGCCAATAGAAGCGCTGGGTTAGTTTGCGCCGGGTATCTTATACTCTTTGGCGTATTGGGCAAGATCAGTGGCGTTTTCATCTCAATACCAAAACCAGTTTTAGGCGGTGTGACTAGCTTTCTTTTTGCAAATGTACTCGTGTCGGGTGTGCGGATCTTATCAAGAATTTCGTGGCAAAGAAGAGACAGAATCATATTGGCAACAGCGTGGACGTTTGCATTCGGTGTTTTGCTTGTGCCAGAATGGTCAGCGCACTTTTTCAGAGGCGTCGACACAAACGGCAACGAGGCGCTGGAAGGCTGGCTGGAGACAATAGAGACGGTTGTATCTACACCTTCTATCCTAGGCTGTTTGGTTGCTATGTCAATGAATTTGATAATGCCTGAAGATGTGGATGAAGAATCTAAAGATGCTAGCGATATGGAGCAAGGCATCAACGAAAATCGAAATACCATCACAGAAATACCTTCAACAGCACAATCCACTCAAAGTCAATTGGAGAAGTAGAGTACGCAATTAATTCCTTACAACTCAAATGAACAAGCATTTAATTATTG